TAGTCGAGTTTGTTATATTCACTTATGTGCAAATAACCTTGGGAAAGGTATGAATCCACCTCTTCTCCTCTCAAATATGGGTTAATTAGTAAGACTTGTATCAGTAAATCATTATTATCTCCAAAAAGCCATAATAGAAGTTCTCTTAATGTTTTTATTAATGAGAATTTAACAACAGATGTGTTTAAATCATTTTCTGATGTTTTTGCTAATAATAAAATAAGGGTTTATGGCCACATCATGTTCAGACACCTGTTCCTATACGATCACTGAAGTTAAGCAATGTCAAACCTACATAGCTGGGTGACCACTTGGGAATACTAAGTGCTGTAAGCTTGGATGTGTGGCTGGTGTAATGGATAATGGCTCAGAATTGTTAATTGGAAAACTGAGTTCCAGTTCCAATTGGGTTCATTATATTCACTTACATGTAAATACCTTTGGGAAAAGTATGAATCCAACTTTTTCCTCCAGCTATGGGTTAATTAGTAAGACTTGTATAAATAAACTATTACTATTAAAAAAAATTCTAACAATCTAAAAAATTATTTTCTGGCTTTAAATAAACTGAAAAGGGTTGATAAGCTGTAAAAAACAAACCAATCAATCAAAATACTCAATATTCTGCAAACTTCTTTTAGCTACTCTCATATTTCTATACTAACCTTGTTAATGTAAAATTCTATTATACTTGAAGCCCTTTTTCATGTTTTATATGAACAATTTTATTATTCCAAATGTAAAATTTGTCAATAACTTGGCTATTTTAAAACATTTCATTAATAAAAAAAATATTTTAATTTATTTTATTTTTTCAGAGCATGGGTCTGCGTGTGGATTTGACTCCTTATGTAGCCTCTGACTCTGAGGAAGAAGAGGAGGAGCAAATAGAAGAGCCTGATGTCCAAATGGCTGAGAGTGAACAACCATGTCCACCTTCCAGCCAAGAGGGATCAGCAAAGGTTGAATCTATGGATGTCAGCAAAGGAGGAGATCAGATAAATACTGAAGCTGGAGACACACCAGGCAATAGTGGCACATCTTCCCCCTCTGTACAAATGTTATCGTCACCAAACCCTGCAAGTAAGCATTTCATTTTGGCAAAAGAAAAACATAGTTATCATTTACTGTGTTACAATGGAACCCTCCTGTAGGGCCTGAGATGGCTCCCCCCTGAGCATCTCACTCTGTTAGTTGATTCCCCCCCCCCCCACACACTCATTTTGAATTTGTATTTGATCTGAGGAAGACTTAGGTGTAATGACCTCAGAAGCAAAAGAGTCAAGTTACAAGAAAAATAATAAAAAGGAAGCAACTGTCAGAACAAACAACTAGTTCTTACTTCTAGAAACAATAATGTAGACATCCAGCAACAAGGCCACTGATCAGGAGATTGGAGCTTTTGAGGAACATAGAACCACCTCTTAACTGCTCTTGTTCCCAGGTCCATCTTGACCTGGGGTGGTAGCGCCTGTAAGGGACCCATCTATAGGTAAATAGTGACCCCCACCCCTCCAAATACTATGAAAGTTTAAAATCACCAGCGGTACATTATTATATAAAAAAAAAATACCAACAATACACATTTATAGTAGAATTATCAACAATAAATCTTATAGTAAAATGATTACCAATACATTTTATTTGTAGTTGAAGGGATACAATTGCATTCTAAATATATTTAGTTGAAGCGATAAAATAGTGTTCAAAATATTTAGATTTTGGCATTTAAATAACCCATAAAGGTGTTGACATGCCACTAAACAAAATTAAAATAAAAAATAATGTAGAGTTTATTTGTCTATTGTTACTGTAATTGAAATTAATCCTTTCCAGATTTTTGGTGCTATGGTCTACCTAACTGAATCTGGTTTGTGAGTTATTAGGTATCAGCTTTATTGACGATATAACAGCAATACCCTAGACTGGGGACTGGTAGTTAGCTCAACAAGTCAAAGTTGATCTCCAAAACCTGGTCTCCAACTCTTTCACTTGATTGTCTGTTTGTAAGTTGGGAAAAATTTCTTCAGTTTCTTCTTGGCAGTATCTTGTGAGGGATGGATGGTGTCATAAGCAGTAGCATGCAGAAGTGGGGGTAGAAGGTGCGATGACCCTAGGCATCCATATCATGAGACCATCGAATCAAAAAGTGAAATAAAAATTTAGGTTATATTTAATTTGAATAAAGTGTTTATTTCATGTTTCATCTGTTATAAATGTCTTCATTTCTCATATTTCTCAGTACTAAGGGCTTATAGGACCCCACACATACACACGCACACTTGAATCTTAGTGGTATACACTCAAGGAGTTGGTCCTGGGCATCACCAAACCTCTTCACATCACTGGTCATAGGTAGCAAAGAGGGTTGATGATGTCAACTACACTGCTATATTATGTCTCATCTACTTGTGTCTCTGTTGATGTCTGCTCCTCTGCAGCTGGTGGAACCTTGTATATATAAGAAATATGTTTCTTTCAGGTGTCAAGTTACAAGTTGATTTGCGTTCGTGCATCAGAATGTGATAAGGAAAGGGCTTTTGATGAATTAATTCTTCAGGGTCAGCCAAATTATTGATAATCAAATAGACAAAAAGCAGATGGTGAATAGTATGAAAAAATAAGATATATCTCAAATGTCATTTTTCCAATGGCGGGTGAGGGTTGAATGTTCCATGTTTCATTTAATCCTACTAGTTAAAACCCTGTTATGTTATAAGTTCAAATTTAGATAACTCCAGATACTCAGCTTCCCCACCTATGTTGTATTTGTTTTTGATCTAAGGAAGTCTTATATGATGCTGGTTGAAACACCTTCAGGGGTGAAAGGGGTGAGTTACAAGAAAAGCAAAGAAGGAAGAGACTCTTACTTTTGGAATCAGTAACTGTAAATTTGATGGGGGATACAGTGATCTTCTCAATTCTATGGTGCTGGAATCTACCTAATTATGGCGGACTGATAACTGGTGGTCAGTTCAATAATTCAGATAGGAATCTTTGGTCTTGGGCCTGCACATGAAGTTGGTTTTCAAAACCTGGTCTCCAACTCTTTCACTTGATTGTCAGTTGGCAAACAAAAAACCTGAGGCTGTAGAAAATTTCTTCAGTTGATAAAATTCTCTTCAGTAGTATCTTCCAAGGAGTGGTGTAGTTACATTTCATCTACTTTTGTCCCTGTTGATGTCTGCAAACAGCTGTTGGGACACTGTTATGATTAAAAGTTGCTTTTCATACGTTCATAGAAAAAACATCTGGAGAAAGGTTTGGATGACTTCTTTCTCTTGTTACACAACTAAAGCCAGCTGAATTCTTGACTTCCACAGATAATTGAGGCAAATGGTGAAAAGTCTGAAAAAAGTAGCAAGTTTCTGATGAATTTTGGCTAATATCCAACCTAATTTAGGGTCAGCCATTTTACCTCAATTGTCACTTTTCAATGAGCATGGGTTAAGCAGTGGGTACACCTTGTTTGAACTGTTCCTGGTCAAAATTTTCTTAATTCACAAGGTCAAACCTTGTACTAATTAATTTTATTGTAATAATTAAATTGGTTTTCATTTCTCCAAAAGCCCACTAGAAAAAACAGGCCCCAGAATATTTCTGTTATGCTAGTAAAATCCAAGTTAACTAACTTGCCTATGTATGATTTTCATATCAACTTGTTTTCTATTCCAACTGGTGACCTGATATAGATTCACTTGTATAATCCACATTAGTAAAGCTGTTGTATTGATCCTTCAAGAATTTGTAAATTACCCTTCTTGCAAATTTGAACATTATCCAGTCTTTTGAACAGAAGTAGAGGTTTATCTCTTGTTTCCTGTTTAGGATTGTGTTTCTGGTTCCTACTAAAGTCTTCTCATTCTCTTTCACTCCCAGTAGCCCCTTGCATCTTTGTGGCATTATCACCTTGCTTTTCGCGAAAAAAAAATCAGTCCAACCAGTGACCAGGGATAGATTCACTTACTTGTAAAATCAGTAAACAGTGTGACTCATATGCATAACATGATTCAACTTGTTTAACATTAAATAACCTGGGGTACAAAATTTTAATGGAGCTTTAAAAAAATGCACACTTTAAAAGTATATATAAATATCTACAAAAATATATAAAACAAAATGGAGGCTTTTCCTTTCACTTTGTTTTATATATTTTTGTAGATATTTATAGAAAGTTTTAATATGTCTGTTGTTTGACTTTATTTTATGTGCATATAAATAATGATTTGATTTTTGTTTTTATCTTTTCAAAGACAATAATGAAAATGGTCTTATTGAAATGGAAGATTCTTCTGTGCGGAAACAAGGACAAAAACGGCGTAGAAATGTTCCAATTGAAGAAACCGGCTGCAAACGGCGATCTGCTAGAGTAAGTTAAAATATTTAATTTCACTGAATTATGAAATAAAAAAAATGTTATCCACTGTTATTGGCAGATTGTTGAAATCAGAATGAAAAATTTAGTAATTTGTTTTCCACTTGGTGAAATATTGTTTCATCTTGTTGCCTGTCAGAAAACAAATATTGACCTGGAAATAAGGTAAATGAAAAATGTTTGAAATCATGTCATAATGTAAAATTTTTATTTTGGGGCTCTCATTTGAAAATGTCTACAATCTTTTAATTTGAAGAAAAAGATTTGTAAACAAAAGTAGAATCCAATATCAAAAGTTGTTTAATAAATTATTATACTGTAAGTAAAATACAAAAATTGCATTTTATGTTTACTCTTTACACAATTAAAATTGATGTGAAAGGAAATTTGAAGTTTATCAAGTCTAAAATATTATTCAAAAGGAATTGTGTAAATGCATGACATTTAATAACTTGAGAACAGCTGATGATATATCAGAAATTTTGAATCTATAACCTACATGCCCATCGCTAAAAGCAAAATTGAAAGATCTTTCATATCATAAAAGCTTAAGATTTTTACTGTAGTAAAATGTGCTTTTTCTCAAAATACTTATCATCTTACAGTAATAGTTGAAGTAAAATATAATATATACAGAATAGATTTTTAAAAAAGCCTGTAAAAAACAAAACAAAAATTATAAATTAATACAATAAATAAATATAAATATATATAGCACATTACGATAAAGAGTGTGACATACATGTAAGTATGCCACTACATTTTCAGCTAAATGTCCATTCGGTTAAATTTACGTTGGCCAAATCTCCAAGTACAACTTCATGCCTGAAAAAAAAAATGTTGTGTCAAAAGAATGGTTTTTCTTTGACACCAATATTATTTTAAATATCTTCACTCATCAGCAAATTTTATTGTTTTAAAAAATGATTATTAGAATTTTAATAAAACCTAACATAGAAATGAATTTGTACATTTTCTTTGTTCTTGAGAATTAAAAACAAAAATAATAAAAACTATTTGAGATTTTTTATTTACACTATTTATTTATATCGTTTATTATTCCAATAAACAATTTAAGTAAAACATTGGCTAACTGTCAATCGATTTAAACTATAGAATGTTAAATAAGGATTTCTTTATAGTTCCTATATTTTTATAATTTTTAAATTTATTAATAAAAAATTTGTTTTCATATTTATTTCTTTATAAATTGGTAAATGATAACAATTGCATTAGTTTTTAGAATGTTGTAAATTTAAAATTATTCTTGTAAATAAACAATCTAATAAATAAATAGTTTTTAATATTTTTGTTATAAATTCTCAAAAACAAAAAATGTATAAATTCTCTTTTATCATGTTTATCTTTAAGTTTTATTACAATTCTAATCATTGCTTTTTAAAACAATAAACTTTGCCAAGGAGTGAAGTCAATTAAAATAATAGCAGTGTCAAGAGGGGGGGTATGTCCTTTTGACATTCTGTTTTTTGGCCGGCATAAAGGTTAAAGATAACTGAAATTTCTTTATTGTGGGTTTTCTTACTCTGACAGTGAATCTAGTTTGGTATGTTAGCTGTTTGGCAACAGAAAAGGAGACCCTCTAGAGGATTATATTGCTCAGGAAATAATTGGCTGCTTGCTTTGAAAGACATTTCTAATTCTTATTGTTGCAAAAGAACAGAAAACAATGAAAGACCACACGCATGTCATGCATCACTTGATTGATCCATCACCCTCAGAGTGATGTTTTAGATCTATTAGTTCTAGGACAAAGCGTTTGAGGGACAGCTATTTTCCTTGGGCCCTGCATAAAATGAGTGCTGCCACACACTGACAATTTTAAATGTCACTACTTTTCTTATTTTGATGCTGTGTTTTTCTGTGTCTGTGTGTGTGTGTGTGTGTGTGTGTGTGTATATATATATATATATATATATATATATATATATATATTTGCTTTTTTTATGTGTTGGTGCACCTGGGTCTGCTGTCCAGTTTCATTGTGCATTACACAGTGACAAGAATAAATATATAAAATTAATTTGGTGAAGTAGAAGATAGTCTGTCAACAGTAGTAGATAGTGAAACAGTGATTCTTCTGGAGTGGCTGATGAAATATTTCAGAAGATTAAAGGGATGAACTAGCTTTTATCTTACTGTTAAATTATATGTGCTGTGTGTACAGTAAATGGTACAGGGCACATGAAAATCACTCACATACAACATAGACATCTACATTACATATGTGCATACAAAGTCATATGCAGAGAGGGTGTGTGATGGACAGAGAATCATCAATTGTTTTATAATATGAATTTTAAACTCTCACTATCAGAATATACACAATGAAGTCAAATTTCTTTTTTTTTTTTTTTTTTTTCTTCAGAAATTTTACTCGCCTAGTATAAGCCAAAATTTTCACTGTTTCATTTTCAAAGCAAGCAGATTTGGAAGATTGGTGTGACACAGTCACTTGCCCCTCCTCCCATCTGGCCCTGTATTTGACTAAGCTTTGTAAATATCAATACTGACAGTGTTAGGAATTGTTCACCATTTAGATTATCTTCACTAAATTCTCTTTTTTCTATCTTTATATTGATTATTGATTATTTCATATGAATCCAGGATACATATTTTTTTTCTTGTCTATTTTGGTCCTTTAATCTATTTTTCTAAGCCTAAACCGGATGAACTATTTTTTTTCTCCTTTTGTAGGTCCGTAACACAACTCGCAGAAAACAAGAAGAAAATGTTGATATTGAAGAATTGTTGCTTAAATTTCTTCCCTCCAGCTTATTGTAAGTTGTTCATAAAATATTTAAAATAAAACAAAACATATTGATACATTGTCAAACTAATGTGGAACCTTTGGAAAAGCTTATTTCTGTTCATAGACACAATTGTGAATTGACCTAATGGCTTCATCATAAAATATTTGTTCAAAAACACAGATTTCATGCACTGAGAATAAGAACAAAAAATAGGATTCTAAATTAGTTATGTTGCATTTCATTTAGAAAATGGGATTCTTGTAAACCATCAAATTCAGTTACTAAATTATTAAGTTATCTTTATATATTGTCATATCTTCCACCTCCCATGATCCTTATTGAAACAGTTCATTGAAGGAAGAGGTAATACCCAGTACCGTCACTGTCTTTATCATGATCACAGGTCTCATAACCTATTAAGGTTGTAGGGGCACTGCATGAGCTGCGGCCATAGTAGCAGTTGCTACCCAAAGCTATAGGACCCAATCGATTCTGCTATTTACTCATAGCTAAGGAGAGAAGAGCTGGATTCATACCTTTGCTAAGGTTATTTTTGCATAAGTGAATATAAGGTCAAATCAAGAAACAACACCCTAAAGAAACTGGCTAACACCAAATGGGGTGCTCATGCTGGTACAATCTGCACCACAGCACTAGCCCTTTACTACTCCACAGCAGAATATGCCTCACTAGTGTGGAGCAGATCATCACATGCAAAGAGAATCGACCCTGTCTTAAATGTCTTGTGCAGATCAATCACTGGGTGTCTCGAGTCAACCAAAGCAAATGATTGCTACTTGCTTAGTGGTATTGCTCACCCTTACATCAGAAGGACAGTCCACTCGCAACTCAAGAAGTTGGAGCAGGAAATTGACCCTCAGCATCCAGTCCATGGCTATGAACCAATGACAGGATCAAGTTAAGACACAACTTTTTATACTCAGCCAAAACACTGAACAACATAGCTCCTAGTCAGCGTCTGTTCCTGTGCTGCAGCTGCCTTAAAAACATAGAACACAGACTCTCTCTCAGCCCTACAGAATCCCCATCTGGCTCTAGTGATGCCTGGCCCTTCTGGTCCTGCATAAATTGCTTCCTAATACCTGTTGGTTGTTGCAGAGACAACCTTCAGAAATGGGGATATGCTACTGATGTTGATCCCAACTGCCAATGTGGGCAATTACAAACTATGGGAAATCTTCTAGTTTGCCCAAATATTCAAGATCTATGCACACTTAATGACTTGAAAACTTAACACTTCAGGCAAGGATAAGTGTGCAACACTGGATGGGTGTGGTGTATCAACGATAAGAAGTAAATATAATGAACTTTACTGGAATTTGAACTCAGCTTGCTGATTTCTCATTTCAAACCACTATCCATTACACCACCTATACATCCACTGTCTCTAGCTTTATATATTGTTGTACTTGCCACCTCCCACTGTGGCGGACATGAGACAGAACCTGGGACGAGCACAACTAGTCGCGACTTGCCTTGTCCCCGCCAAAAAAGGGCCCGTATTTGCTTAGCCGAAATAGCTTGAGGCGAATGAAGAAAACAGTAACCAGCGAGTAAATTCAAGCTCACTCAGCTGGTATTTCAAACTTGAGTCGTTCCTTCTTGAGTTCTTCGAGGGACGTTCACGGTTGACGGCTAGAACGGGCAGTTAGTGTGATTTGGAGACAGAACTCAAGAAGGAACGACTCAAGTTTGAAATACCAGCTGAGTGAGCTTGAATTTACTCGCTGGTTACTGTTTTCTTCATTCGCCTCACCCACTGGAACAGTTCATTGAGGGAAGGGGTGATATCCATCACTCTCACTGTCTCTATAGCTTCATATTTTGTTGTACTTGCCACCTCCCACTGGAACAGTTCATTGAGGGAAGGGGTGATATCCATCACTCTCACTGTCTCTATAGCTTCATATTTTGTTGTACTTGCCACCTCCCACTGGAACACTTCATTGAGGGAAGGGTGATATCCATCACTATCATTGTCTCTATAGCTTTATATATTGTTGTAATTGCCACCTCCCACTGGAACAGTTCATTGAGGGAAGGAGTGATATCCATCACTCTCACTGTCTCTATAGCTTCATATTTTGTTGTACTTGCCACCTCCCACTGGAACACTTCATTGAGGGAAGGGGTGATATCCATCACTATCATTGTCTCTATAGCTTTATATATTGTTGTAATTGCCACCTCCCACTGGAACAGTTCATTGAGGGAAGGAGTGATATCCATCACTCTCACTGTCTCTATAGCTTCATATATTGTTGTTGTACTTGCCACCTCCCACTGGAACACTTCATTGAGGGAAGGGTGATATCCATCACTCTCACTGTCTCTATAGCTTCATATTTTGTTGTACTTGCCACCTCCCACTGGAACACTTCATTGAGGGAAGGGGTCCATCACTATCATTGTCTCTATAGCTTTATATATTGTTGTAATTGCCACCTCCCACTGGAACAGTTCATTGAGGGAAGGAGTGATATCCATCACTCTCACTGTCTCTATAGCTTCATATATTGTTGTACTTGCCACCTCCCACTGGAACACTTCATTGAGGGAAGGGGTGATATCCATCACTCTCACTGTCTCTATAGCTTCATATTTTGTTGTACTTGCCACCTCCCACTGGAACACTTCATTGAGGGAAGGGGTGATATCCATCACTATCATTGTCTCTATAGCTTTATATATTGTTGTAATTGCCACCTCCCACTGGAACAGTTCATTGAGGGAAGGAGTGATATCCATCACTCTCACTGTCTCTATAGCTTCATATATTGTTGTACTTGCCACCTCCCACTGGAACAGTTCATTGAGGGAAGGGGTGATATCCATCACTATCACTGTCTCTGTAGCTTTATATATTGTTGTAATTATCACTTCCCATGATCCATATTTATTCTATATATGCTCTTGTATTTGTAGAGAGGTTCGAGAAGATGAGGAAGAAGGAAAAACCGGAGACCAAAACAGTGAGCAAGAAGCAGGTTCTTCCACAGGTCAGTACCTTTCTTTATTTATATCACAGGTTAATGGATGCTCTTAAAAAAATATGCAACCTCCTCCTTCTCCTTCCTTGTTCATATTTTATAAATGTGTATTGCACGTTTGTAGAGAGGACAGTGTTCAATAATCAATACCAACAAATGAGACTGGGAAAAGTTGATGCAAGAACATTTTTGCCTTATTTATGGAACTTATGGACACATCATGTTGAAACACTGGTTCATGTATAGTTACCAAAGTTAAGCAATGTCAAGCCTGGTTAGTATCTAGATGAGTGACTGCTTGGGAATACCAGGTTCTGCAAGGTTGGATGTGTGGGTGGTGAAATTGATAATGGCTTGGATTTGTTAATCAGAGAGCTGAGTTCCAATTCCATTTGTGTTCATTATATTCACTTATGCTCACATGTTACAAAACCCAATATGCAGAAAGTTCTGACAAGTTTGTTTAGAAATATTAAAATAAATTTGGTAATAATTTATTTCTAAGTAAAATGATTCATTTCTTGTTCAGGAAGTGCTTTCATTGGAAAGATGTTAGATTGCCAAAATTTAGTGGGAGGATGAATTTCAAAAGGTTACTTAGGAAGGAGGATGTTAAAATGATCCTTTATCAAGACTAATATCCTCATCTTTGTTACAATAACAATAAGAAGATATTTGACCAAATAGATTAATATGTCATAAAAATGATGTTATTGTCTTATTGGTTTTTAGATATCCTAGTTCAGCACCTGATTAGTTGTCCTATTATTTATCAATGAAGCAAAAAAATGATTATTTCTTCTTTTGTCATCTCTTTGAATGCAGACGTTTTTTTCATAGTTTTTATGCATGAAGACATGAAGTGTAGCATCAAATTTTAGACAAATCAATTGTAACACTGTTGCTGATAGAATTGCTCTGAGTTTACAAGTTGTAAAACATTTTGTCTTAAAATATAGTTTAGAAATGTCTAGAACAGTATATCTTTTTGATTTTTTTTGATTTTTTATAAAAGTTTGGTACCTGTCAGTTTTGATAAATTCAAGGCATTACTTAGAGAAAATGGTCCACTTATAGAAATAAGGAAACATTAATATATTTTTCTTTTTGGTTTTAGTATGGAGACTCTTGCACAAACCAAGGGAGATAATATATATTCATCATAAATGCTGACTCTAACTTTTATAATTTTAAAAGATTTTTGTTAAACAGTTTATTGTTTTTAATATTTTTAAAAATAATTTTGTTTTTACTGAACAAGAAATTGCTTTAAAAATTTTCTGAAAATAAATAAGAAATATATATATAGATCAATTTGTTCTTCATTTAAGATAAATCTGTTTTAGCAAAAAAGTTAAAAAAAAATGTAAAAATGCTTGCACAAAGTGTGTTTGTCTTTCAATTTAGATGAATTTGTGTGGTGTGTGCGACATGGCATTGTGACATTTCCCACAAATAATTGTAAATAAAAACAAAGTAAAGATTCTCTTTTAAAAAAAATCAGAGATTGATTTGATTATTAACAGGACCCCACTTGTAAAATGATAAAAAAATCAATTTTTTATTCTGAAAAGCGTTTGGCTCAGAGGAAGGTTGAATGAATGCTCATCGACAAAAATTAGACAAAAATAAATTTTCTTTATTTTATGAGTAGAAATTGAGCCAAATTTAATAATGACAAAGAACACTTGAATAATAATATTATTATTATAATTATTATTATAATGACTGCCTAATTAGCATAGCTTTGGTATAGACTATGTAAATAACCAAGCAGTAGTTCTCGGTATGTGAGATAAAGAAGTACTGCTGGACTGATAAAATAGGAAGGAAATTTTACTTTATAACATAATTATTATTATTATTTTCTTCCTCCATTTTTGTCTCCAGCTTTGCTCACTACTCTTCAACATTTCAGGTTGTAGTAATGAAACCTCTGATGTTGTCCAGCTGATTACGGCCACCGAGGAAATAGATGTAGAGAAGTTTCTCAAAGACTCTGTAGAGAATGGTGGAATTATTGATCTCATGGGCTCCTACTTGATACATTTATCTGAGCTGGCCCATTTAAAATGGTAAGTGATTGTCTCCTTTTGGAGTTCAGCTTTTCAATGTAACCATATTATGAAGATTTTTTTTTCTTTGTCATTGTTATCACATCATTTAGAGCAGTGATTCCCAAACTATTTTTTTTCTGGGTTGTATTTTCAGAATTAAAATTTGCTCACACTTCACCAAATTTTATGTGATAAAAAGTACATTTAAAAATTAAAAAAAAAACAACAGGGAGGGTTAAAAGATAACTGTGGATTTGAAGTCAGAACATTATCATTGATAACTCTCTCCTCCAATTTGCAGACCCTGATTACTATATTCTTAATACTTGATATAATGCAAAAATATCACAATGATAAGATCAGACAATTATTTATAACTATTTTTACTGGAATTCATCTATGCAATTACAAGTCATCCATAATAATATGTTAAATTTTGAAATTATATTTATTTTTGGCATATGAATTTTTTGAAACTGTTTCTAAATCTTTGATTGTCTTTCAATCATTCTGCCTCACCTGCTATCCTCTTCCGCTGCACCTATGAGGTGTTTGGGAACCACTAATTTAGAGAGACATGCAGTGTCAATTTATATTCAAATAAAATTTGAATATTTTCTTCTTTTTTTTTCTTTTTTTTTTTTTTAACATGCATCATATATTTTTGACTGATTTGTTTTCAATTATATTTTCACTTTTTTTTCCCCTTTAAATATAATTTGAAAACTTTATTTTAAATTTTACTTTATTTACAGCATAACGAAAAATGTGACAGGAAGTCAGTAAATTCATAGCTTACGTGACATGTAGTTAACTGCATTTTAATCAGAAATTTTCACTGTGTAATATTCAAGCTATGTGATCAATAAACAATCTTTGGGTTAAATGCAATAAAAATGCTTATATTGTGAAAATGCTAATTTATTTTCATTTTTTTTTTCATTGTTACGTAAAGGTTTATTGATGTAGTGCTATGTGAGTAGCTAAGGCATTGAGACTATATCAGTGCCCAAGCAGTATGGGGAGGGGTAGAATATGATAAAAAGGATTAACAACTACCGTTGCACTGAGAAAATATGAAGGAAATTGTATTTCATAATACCTACCACGGCTGTTTAAAAGCCTTGTTTTTGTCATATAGGAAAATCCAACATGGCGCGTAAATGAAATATTTGGCAAAAAATCTCATTTGTCAGTAACATTTTAGACACCTCATAGAATGTAAAGTTCTTAAAGCAAACCTATGCCAAACTGTTTTCCTGAATCCTTGATGACTTGGCTGTCCGAAAATGATAATATCAAGATGAAATAATGGAAACTGACCATGAAAAATACAGTTATGCGCAACAGGTTTTTGATCAATCAGTAAACTTCTGGACCTTTTAGGGCGACGTTATAGGATCCAGACGGCTATTGTTTGCATATGGAATTATTCACTGGTAATTAATCTTTGATTTGGCTGTGGAAAATGTCACTTGGCGGTTAGCATTAAGAAATTATGCCAAATTTTCTGAGAAAAATCACCATTTTTTTATGAAAAAATATTTATTTTCGCTTCAAAATAACATCATTCAAAATTCATTCCTTTCTCTTTCATTTGGCATGAACATCATTGAATAAAAGGAACGGCTAAATGGCCCGGCGATGGGAAATATGAAAGATATGCGGCGAAAAAAACAATGTCGTCTGCTAAGTGTTGTTGTCATCACCTGGGTCACGGGGTGTTAAAAACAAAACAAAACTCATCAAGCCATTGTTGAAACATAGGTTATATCAAGCCCTAGTAATGTTGACCCTTTTTTTTTTTCACTCTTTGCTCTTATCTGGGAGTGGTGGGTTTTATTACAACTTGTTCTAACGTCTATTGCTGGCTGACCTTTGACCCAGATGTCAAAGTCAATTAGGTTTAATTTTCCTTATCACTGCTATTTTTTGGGAAAAAAAAACTTTTGGTTTCTGGTGGTTAGGAATTTCAGATAAATCTTTTGCCTTTACTAAAGATTTCTGTGGCCGGGTGTCAATTTTTTTTAACCCTTGGCAGTCATATAATTGAAAATTACCAATGGATTTTGTTGCATTTTGACCCCCTAGCAATGTTGATTTCCTTCAAAACTCTCAATTTTATGCCTGAAATAGTTTGATTATGATTTAGGCTTTCTGATTTTCAAAAAAAAAAAATGGTTGATTTCCCATTAATGGGGAAAATATTTGTTTAGAACAAGAAAGAAATGCAAAATTTTCACTATTTTTTCACATTTTACCCACTGAAAAAAAATTTGAGTCATTTACACCAGCCAATTTTACTTTTAAATGAATATATCCTTTGCTTTCAGAAAATACCTAGTTTCATGGGGTTCAGATCAAAAGTGTCCTTGATATTAGTTTAGGTGATGATAAAACAGTCATTTTTCAATATTTTACCCCTATAAAAGTATGAAAATCTATTTTTTGAGAGAAAATAAGCTGTGACAAAATGACTTTTGCCATTTTTGTGATGATTTTCACTTGAGAAAGAAAATTTTTACCATAGCAAGCCTGAATTGACTTTATTTAAGTTCAGTGGGGCTATAGGAAACCTCAAACATCTGTGCTACATTTTTACAAATGAATTATGTGCATTGACAATGAAGGAGATTATGTTGAAAAATAAATGCTTGTTGCATAAAATAAGCACACTTTTTCATCATTAGGCATTGACTAACTGATGTTTATATATGTAAGAAAAAGTCATAAATGTATCTGTCTAATGAGCTGGTCGTATTTAGTGTTTAACATTTTTATGTTGTTAATTTTTCTGTCTTATCACAAATGGGATGTGATTTTCTTATTTGCGTTGCACAATTCAGTTGTTAAAAATTTCTGCTGTCAATTTTTCAGTCAGCCAATATAAATTAATGAAATTAAATAAATTTGTGTCAATATGGTTAGGAATTTTACGTGGCTAAGCAGATTATTTGGTTTGCAATTTAAAATCATTATTCACCATTTCTTAATATTGTTATAACCACAAAATGAAATGATTTAAGAGTGCCAGCTATAGGCAAATAGTTAATCCCCAAACTGGGGTCAAAACACTGTGAAAGTGTAAAAATAAGTTTTCATAGTGAAAATAGCAGCAATACATTTAAAAAAAAAAAAAAAAAATTACCAGCAATAAATTTTTGGAAGAAAAAAATATTACCAGCAATACATTTGACTCTCTACAAAAACCCTCTTTACAAAAATATGTCAATGAAACCTGATCTACAAACTGATTTCTTACAAAGAATACATATTCTATTCATACAAACCTATCCTAAAAATCTTGTCAGCATTAAATAACCCATTGAAGTTGATATGCCGTAAAACAAAATAAACCAAACCAAACTACATGCACTTGAAAGAAATACACTATCATATTAAAAATGTAATAATGTTTAAGATATGTTGAAAATTGTTAGCATGTGACAATGTTCATTTTACACAGCACCCAAGAATAAAAGCTGCCCCTCAAGCTCTTTGTCCTAGAACTGAAATGTAGTTCTGAGGATAACAGTTCAAATAATTGATACCTGGAATAATGCCATAGAATGAGTTAAAGTGAAAGGTTTCATGATTTGATGTTTTGAAGTTCCATGGAGTTTTGTGATTGGAAGAACTCAACTCAATTGAAGTTCCATGGAGTTTTGTCATTTGAAGAACTCAATTTTTGGTCTGAATTGAAATTTTGGCTGGAATTAGACATATAGCATGAATCAGAGTTAAAATGAAGTTTTGAAGTTCCATAGAGTGAACTGTGGAATTCAAAGTTATTTCTTCAAAAGTATCATTATTGTTTTCTAAGTGGAATCAGAAGTCTCTTTAGTTTTGGGCTGGAGGCCCAATTAGCCCTCCGCAGGAGCTAGTTAAAAGTCCACATGGAGTGTAGCTTTTGGGGTCAAGTGACAACAATGTCGGACATTGAGAATTTCTGGCCACAAGCCTATATTAACAATTGCAGTACTGACTTCAGCAGGGGCGCACTGTCTCTTGGTTAGTTCTGATGCTGTCTATTTGTGTTAAAAATATATTATAAATAGGGTTCAAGTCCTTATTTTCACACCATGGCATTTTTTTCTTTTTTTAACTAATGTTTCAACCATTACAAGGTCCAAGAGCCACTCAAGATAGAGGGTTACTGAATGTGCTTGTTGTATGAGCATAAGAGGAGGAGGTAAAGGGGCTGATTATGAGTACAAGAGGAGGTGGTAAGAAGGACAGATTATGAGCATATGTAGAAGAGATAATGATTAACCTTAGACTTGAAGAGGTTAAGAGTGTAGTGATTAGGTAAGCATCCTCTTGGGAGTCTGTTCTATGAAATAGTTGTTCTTGTGAAGAAGCTGTCCTAATTGAACTTCTTTCTTGCAAATGGAATATGAAAGGAATGAGGATGATTTAACCCCATGTTCGTGGGATGGCGGGTCTTGGCTGCGATGGTCAGAACTGGTGGAACTAAGCAATCTAGTTTGTCAGAACATTTTCTGCGGAAATAGTGATAGAGTAGCAGTAAGCTTGCGACATTTCACCTGTGGGAAAGGGTCTGTGGGGGGGGGATAATTCATCATCCACAAGGTTGTGTAAACACTTTTGAACCCTTGATTTTTATCTTTCTGTTGTAGAGTAGTACTTAGTGTTCCTTCTCTCTCCTACTACTGTGACAGTGAACTGCTCCTACTTATAAATATTGCAAGTAGCCACATTAGAGTAGGATTTGAGTAGTATTTTTTTTACTGAAGTTTTTCAGTTCTATATATGAGTATTTGATGAACCTCTTCTTTCTTTTCTCTACTTAGTCTTCTGTTCTTTTGATATTTTCTCTAACTACGTTCCTTCCTAATTCTCAGCTATTTTGAACAAAGACAACATTACAACACTTTCATTTCTTTGTAAGATTGCAACAGACCCTTTCCTGATTTTTGGTGCATATTGACATGAATGAGTATGTGGGGGGAGTCATTGACTTGTCAGTGGAAAACTGGGTGAGGACCCTGTTGTATGTTTACATTTTATAAAAGTCTATCTTGTATAAATTCATAAATTCTTCTTGTTTCAGGTCAGATGGTTTAGTTGAAATTTATCTGAAGGTTTACAACAGTGTCAGGAAACACCTGAAGTTGCCCTCCTTTCTCTGGTAAACTAGTGATTCTTTTAATCTGTCGCTTTCAAAACATATTTACACTTTTATTTAAAATCATTTATGACCAAGCTTCTTTTTTCATCAAAACCTATTTTGTTTTTCATAGCTCTGAAGAACCAGCTGAGTATATTGTGGAAATGGGCAAAGTGAGTTATTTTTTTATTACATGAAATCAATATATTTCCATATGAATCTATGTTATCATTTTGTATTGCCCATTGGGAGACATGGAATACTTTAGAAAATGTACACATTATACAAAGAAATTATTAAAAAAATGTTTCTTTAATTCTTTTGAGACAAATATATTTGATAAAAATTTAAAAGTGTTTTTATTTTACATATAAAATTACTGTAGACCAGTGTTTCTCAACCTTTTTTTAAACAATGGTACACCTAGAGCAAATGAAAATATCACAGCACACTTAGCAAAATTTAAAAAAAAATACACACAAATATGAACATGCTTTATTTCAATGTTTTTATTCAACTATTTGTGCATCTTATTTAGTGAGAAACCTGTGCCTGTTTTTTTTTTTGTTTTTTTTTTTTTTTTTTTTTTTTGCAATTTCTTCAATGTTTGGTTGAATGTGCAATAAGCAGACCCTCATTTCTTCTCCAGTTAAGCATAGTCTTTATCGCTTCTTATTTTTGATGTTATTTTTAAGGTTGAGAAGCCTAATTTGCATAAATAAGAAAACAAGATTTCAATAAAACTGATAAAGCCTTTTTAGCTAATATGGGATATCCCTCTTGTATTGAAATCCAAAATGTATCAATGGGTGATAAACAGACCCTCATTTCTTCTTTAGTTAAGCATAGTCTTTCTTGCTTCTTATTTTTGATGTTATTTTTAAGGTTGAGAAGCCTAATCTGCATAAATAATAAGTAGGAATTTGCAATAAAACTGATAAAGCCTTTTTAGTTAATGCGAGATGAAAAGTTTAATACTTATTCATTTATTCAAATACTAACACTGTACCATTACTAATTCCACACACACACACGCACACACATATATGTATACTGTGACAATATTTCATGACACACTTAAGAGGATCGCGTGGCATCTTAGTGTGCCATGGCATGGTGGTTAAGAATCACTTCTTTAGACAAATAGGTGCTGAAAAGTTCCCAGTAGGAATCACTTTTCAAAATCGGGGCCAAATGACCAAACATCTGATTTTATTTTGGAAGGGCATATTTAGATTGAGGATGTGCAGGTAGTGTAATGGACATTGGTTTAGAATGAGAAATTTGAGAACTGTGTTTGAATTCCAGTCAAGTTTGTAGGATTTACTTATGTGCAAATACCATTGGGAAAGGTATGAATCCACCTATCCCCCAGCTATGAGTTAAGTAATAGGACTTGTATCTGGAAAGATCATTATCTCCAAAAAATTGTTAATGCAATATTCACTCACCAAAATATGTTATGGCTTTAAATGTGCCTGGAAGGGATGATAAGCAGTAAAAAGCAAATCAAACAAAACATATTCAGACCAAGAACTTTTCAGCACCCAACCACAAAAGATTAATGTAATGCTATCCAAATGTTCAAGGAATTTGACCAGTTAGTTTAATCTGTTCATAAAGTTACTCAACCATTATTGTAAATTTGTTTTACCCTTATTTACTTTCATCTTAATTTTTATTAGATGAAGTATTGTCAGCCATTATTAATACTTATTATTTATTAATAGTTCTGATGAATTATTGAACAATGTATTCCTCTTCATTGTTTAAAAACTCCTAACAATGATCTACTGTTCAATGCCTCGATGATAGAAATCACTAGGTTTTGACTCATAAAATTAATCAAGCCACATTTTAAGTTCCATATCATTGTTGAATGAAACCCCCCTCATATTGTTAGAAAGTGCCTGAAAAGGTGACAATCTGAAGGGTTTAAATCAGGAGAATATGGTGGATGTGGCAGAACTTCCCAACTGAGCTCTTTAATTGCATGTTTGTTCATGTTAGTGACGTGGGGTGAAGCATTGTCATTGTATAATCACACTGTATCATTGGTCAGGTCTTTTCAGCTGAATTGCTTCTTTGAGCCTGCTCATTTGTTCAACATACAACTTAGCATTGACCATTTGGTTATTTTGAAGCATTTCATAGTAAATTAGTCCTTGCCAATCCCACCAAACACAGATTGTTCGTTTGCGTAGATGCAGTTCTGGCTTGGTTTGGACTGTTACCTCCTTGTCAGGACTTACCCATTCTTACTCCTGCTTCAAAATTCATGTAAAAACACCATTTTTTGTCCCCGGTGAAATTACAGTAAAGAAATTTTTCTTTGTATCCATGAGTAGGCTGATGTTGAGCAAGTGAACTGGTGGCAGTAGAGGAGTGTTGAAGATTGTTTCTCTTGGTCCATGTGTGTGGCACCCATGCACCGTGGTTCTGGACCTTACCCACTGAATGAAAATGATGAACAACAGTAACATGAGAGCTTGCCATTTTCTGAGCCATTTCCCTAGTGTTCTCATGCTGTTATTCTTTAATAAGCATCTGCAATTGGGTCTCATCAAACTGGACAGATCAGCCAAAATGCAGGCAGTCTGAGTTTGAACTTCCCCTCCTTTAAACGGGAAAACTATTTTTATACCCTTCTGTCATTAATGAAGTCACCTCCCTACACTGCACAAATATCTCCAGCAGCTTTGACCATAATTAAAAGAATAGAGAAGAAGATGCCAAACACACTTATTTTTGTCAACTTGGCATTCCATTTGAAAGGGGTGTCTAATATGAAATAAAATTTCAATAACATTATACAACAGTTTCACAGGATGACCAAAGTTATTAAGAAGCAAAAAATGCTACAAAAGATTATTCTTCGAGATCATTCACAGAACATCAGAAAAAATGAACCGATATATGTAGCAACCTAATAGATGAAGCATTGCCAACCTAATTATTAATAATTGAATAGTATCTTCTTTCATCTTCATTTTTTATTAGTTGAAGCATTTTCAACCATTATCAATTTTTGACAAAGCATTTACTTTCATCTTCATTTTCTGTTAGATGTATCATTGTCAGCCATTATCATTAATTTCTGGCTGGTATTTCCTTGTCTTCAAATTTAGACATTCACACTTTTCTGTGATTTGATTGAAATCCACTTGCATTTAGAATTGTTCTTGTTTTTCTTCAGATGGTTATTGTGTCAGCTGAACTTAAACTTGATCATTGGTTGACGAAAAAAGCCAGATTGAAAACTTCACCTGCCAATTCTCGAAAGTAAGTCTTACGTCATGTTCACAGTAACAACTTTATCTATGTAGTCAGTTGTTTCATGCTTGGAATAAAGTTCCTTAATCCATTTCATTCACCAAACAGCGTAGCATAAGTCAAATAATCCAACACACACATCTTCTGTTTGCTACCACGGTCGCATTGCTCTGTTGCCTCATCAAGCAGTTTTTGTAGTTTGAGTGACAGGTCAAATTTGCATAGATGCAAAAAAAAAAATATCTCAGAAAAGAATCTGACTCCAATATTTATCGTTTCTTAAATATACGACTTGTAAAACTACCATTTTCTTTTTGGGATACTTTACACACAAGACACATCCAAACCCGCTTTCTACCAGGAGGTAGGCCATTTTCTCTTGGTTACAATCTCTTTCTCTTTGCTTTAATGATTGCTGACAAAAATAAAAACAGAAACAAACAACAACTTTTATCAGATGAATCAGTGTTACTCTGCAAGTAATTAGATATATTTATAACAACTGATCCTTCCTTTTGTCTAAGTTTTTTAAAATTCTAGATCATCTTTTAAGACTGAAACAAGGATGATGTTGATTTTATTGTCAGTGTTTTGTTGTTCTTTTAATGATGATTATCATTTCTTTTGGTTGTTTAATTTTGCCACTGGTCTGTGAATAATATTTAATTGTAAACTTTTGTGACTTCTTTGTATTATTGACTAGATCAGGCATGTCCAAAGTTCAGCCTGGGGGCCAATTACGGCCTGTGGTCAAATTTCATATGGCCCCCATCCTCTGTCATACAATATATCACTTACAGTCTTCCAGTATTGTCAATCAGAATATGTAAAGTACACACCTAAGAAATGCAATTTCATGTTTTACTAAAAGATGGCAGCAATACTGTGGGGCCACCCTCTGTGATCCTGACCTTGGCCTTTTCCAGCCAATTTCTAAAATCACTACCTTTGAACCAGAGCTGACCTACATACTGCAGTCCTGATCTCAGTATCACTGTTCACATTAGTGCAGGCAAGTTATTTGTTTTGGTCCTCTTAGTTGAATAAATTTGTTAAAATTTTAGAATTTGTTTTGTGTTGGTCAAAATCAGTTATAAATATATGGACACGTGGACTTGTTTCATTTTATGTTTTCAACTTCTTAATAAGATGAATGTTGATGTTATGTTCCTATTCATATGTTTTTAACTTAAAAGTTGACAGACAACATTAATTACCAATAACATATCATGTTTAAGATTAACCTGAGATATAGCTCTTTTTTCTAAGACATATTTTACTTCATCTTATATGGGCTTTCAGATATGATGAACTAAGTGAATTTGGTAAGACCTGTTTAAAATTTATTTGTCATCCATGTGAAGATAATGAAAATATGCCATTTGCAATAAAATTTTCATAAGATAGTTCATTTGCATTTAATTTTAATGATTCAAAGAAAGCCAAGCAGAATGTTTGGCTCTCACGCATATTCATTAAATCTGGCCCTCTTTGAAAAAAAGTTTGAACAACCCTGGACTAGATTAATTGTAAATTTCCATTGGAATTTTTTTTATCACTTGATCCTTAATTAACAATCAGTGCAATATGAACCAAGAAATAATCTTTAAAACAGACTAAATTCCAACAGCTTTCAGAATTCTCTCCCAAAATATTGAGAAGCAAGAAGTTTTCTGAAAAGAGCAAGAACTACTTTTATAATTCCAATATTTTGTCCACCTTGCTCTTTGGCAGTGAGCCATGACACCTGAAATAACTAAGGAAAGAAAAGTAAGCTGGAACTATTCTGTAACCTCTGTCTGAATTTCTAAGATGACAAGATATCATTATTTATATACAGACTATTGTCCCCCATATTTATTTTTAGTATCATTGGATTTCCGATGATGGCTGGAGGGTGCAATGGCCAAAACATTGTGATAATAACAACAAAGATGAGGACAATAGACCTGTGTAAATAATGTAAATAATTCTGTGATTGATGACAGTTAGGACATAGATTGTCTTGTTTTTTATCTTAAAGGATCTTTGCAAATAGGCAGATGAAATGGCTTGACCATCCTGCAAGGCTTCTATCTTGAAGACTTGAATTCCAAGTACTATGGTGGATTCTTAATGGAAAATGAAAGTGAAGCTGGTTGAAAAATAATTGGCAAGAGATCGTTTGAGAAGACCACAGACAAGTGATCAAAAGTTGAACTGACATCAAGTTGATGACTTTACTGATCAAAGTGGTGAGAGGAGAAGGTCCACTGCCTCAGACAAAGTAGGATTGTTGATTCGTAACACAACCTACTAATAATCTTCTAGCATTTATAGTGTCTGACTTTTAAATACCTGACCTGCAAAAGTGAAATTAGTTCCCCTGTAATTTGGAAGAAGAAGGTTTATTTTGCAAGGTTGCTACTTTCTAGGTTTGCATCCCAAGTACTACGGTGGATTCTTAATTGAAAACGAAAGTGACACTGGTTGAAAAATAACTGGCAACAAGCCACTGAAGAAGACTACTCAAGATTCTGATATATTTTGCATACCTGTAATTTTAAAAAATGTATAATTAAACCTTGATTGACTGTTGCATCTTTCCTGGCTGCAAAGTCTAAAGCACACATGACTTGAAGGTAGTTTCCCTAAAATAAGAGAGATGCAGTTTGGCCTCTGCCAAAAAGCATCTTTTTTAAAAAAGTTTGTATTTTTTTATTAAAACTCTAATGCTCCGGCCAGTAGATGTCCATTACACTGTTAGAAAAATATCAGGAATGTCTGCTCAAACACATGTATCCACAAAATGGAACATTGATAGTAATAAATAATATTGGAAAACAAATAAAATTCATTAATTCCTGTGGTGAACAATTACATAGAAGCAAGTGAGTCAGAGTGGCTTTGCATCTGGTGCAAAGGAAAATAAGTTCCTTACCTCATTACATGACACGTAGCAGCAACATTTTGTTCCTTGAAAGTAGCATGAATACTCCCTTCCCACTTTAGATTATTCCAAAAGTGCATATTCTGTAACAGTGGCTTTTGTACAGCTTAGCCAGTAGCAAGTTGCGTGCTGATTGGTCAGGCTGGAAGATGCTCTTTGACTAGGTAATTGAGGACAAAGCAAAGAATGCTAATTGGTCAGTTGGCCGTGATGTTGGTATGATAAGAGAGAGCTGAAGCACTGAGAAGGAGAACCAGTTTTACATATGTGACATATACGGGAAATCAAGAATCGCCAACTGAAAAAAAGAAGTATTTAGTGTTGTAAGAGTGACATCAAGGTCATTTATGCTACAATTCCTTAGAAATTGCTTTGTTTATATTTCAGACTCCCCCCAAAGTTAGCAGATATGGGCTTCAAAAGGTCTCAATGAAAGATATGCATTTTGTAAAAATTGAGTAATTGAACCTTTGTTGACTGAGCATTCTTTCATAGCTGAGCAATCTAAAGCACATTTGGCTTGAAGATGGTTTCTCCAACATAAGGGAAACACAGGTTCATACTCTGTCATTTTCTTTATTAAAACTCCTCTCAAATCCCAGGCATCAATTACACAATTTTAAAAATGGTAATTGAACCTACATTGTATCTAAAGTCTTTCATCGCTGAGCAGTCTAAAGGACATTTGGCTTGAAGGTAGTTTCCCTAACATAAGGGAAACATAGTTTCATACCCTGCCCAAATGCATATTTTCTATATTAAGACTCTCAAATCCCATGAAGATAGACATCAATTACAGTTTTTAAAAAAATTGGTATGTTTACTCAAATGTGTATCTTTAACAGGGCAGTGACCCTGATGGTTCCGTAACAGTGCATGAAGCATCATTTATTGACTTGAGGTATTGAGAGAGCCTAGAATACTAGGTGAAGAAATAAAAATAACAAGAGAAAAAAAATTATAGAAGACTAGTTAACCAAGCTGGAACCTGATAGAAGAAAGTTCAGTAACCAGAATTTATAAAATGCTTAGGAGAATAGTATCAGTGAAATTTGAGGCCAAAAGAAACCTAGTAAGAATTAGTAAATTCAGTACAACTGAATTTCTCTGCTCCATCTCTCTTACCCGAGGAAGTTACAGTGACAAAAATAATGTTTACCAAAGTTCTGCAAAGCCCAGATGAATTTGGGAAATGTTTACTTAACATCTTACATAGCAGACTTATTTTTTTGTTTTTTACTAAAATGTCTGGCCTTGGATATTTTAGAAGCATTGGTCACATGCAGCGGTAATAGGAAGATCTTTGAGGATAGTATCAATCAGTGTTATCTTCTGAGCAGAAATTGTGGTAAAATAGGACCAAGGACTTCTAACTTAACCGTGGCTAAGAGGTCACAATGTCTTGTGTGGTCCTAGTGCTTTTAAAACTATCGTTAATTTGCATGTGTAGTCAAAAACCTGAAAAAAAGTTGAGCTGCATAGATGAGCAGGGAGAGAAGCTACAGAATTTGACCTGTTCTGGACCAGGCTCATTGCATCTATCAACTACAGAAATCTATACAAACCGAAACATATGGTCACATAATTTGTTCATACAAGGTTGGTCAGGAGATCATGCAAAAGTTTCTCTTTCTTTTCTTCTCTTCTCAGGCTGAAAGAAATACTGACTGACAAATACATAAACTAATATAGCAATTAGCTCTTTCTTGATACCACAAGATCTTAGTAGAAAATCAACTGAGAATGATTGTAACCTTTTTGGACAGCCTGTGAGATTAGATTGTAGGTTATTGTTACACTGGTGCTTATTTTACTTCTCTGCCTATAATATATTCGCCTTTTGAGTAAGCTTTCAGGAAACCAAAAACCATGGCTCGCAGAACTGTATAACAGAATGCAACAGAAATGGCATCTCTGTATGTATCTAATGAATCAATAATAGACAACTTTATCTAGAGACCAGCAGTAGCAGGAAACCTCAAACAGACAAAAAACAGTCTGCAACGTGTACACTTCACTTGATATTTAGTGTTAATAACACTGGCAAAATTAGCTACTGTGGCCAAGAGCCGGTATGTATTTAGTACCATGGACAAGAGCATGTGTGTTGGGTGTTCTGGACAAGTAATTTAGTAATATAGTAATAAGAAATACCTGTAATTATAAACTTGTATTCCTAGTGGGTTTTAATATTAAAAATAAAAAAAATTTCTATTTCAATTTTACTGTTTATGTCTTTTTCAGTCGTGGTTCTTGTAGTATCACCCTGAATCAGCTGGAACCCAACTTCCCAGGTCTGTTCTACACTGAAGACTTGTGGTATATTTCTGGTCTCATTGGCTTCTCTGATATTATGGCTGCATACTGGGCTGAACACACTGTACGAGGTAAGTATATGCTTATGACATCACTTAATTTTTGTCTGAAATTTTGAGATGGGTGAATTATTATTATTCACTGATATTCTTGGATTCAAGTCCTCATTTTGATCATCATCTGTGGTCCAACTATCCAGCAGTATGTCTTCAAGAGGTCAAACCTGACCTCATATTCCAATCTGAAACTATTCCACCAGTTCATATCTTCACAGCTAGCACCTGCCATGCCACATACACATGCTTGACTCATCCTCATTTACCTTTGTATTCCATTGCTAAGAAAGAAGTTATGCTCTGACAGCTTGTTCCCAAGAACTGTTACTTTGTGTAACAGACTCTTGATCACTACAATCTTAACCTCTTCAAGTTTAGGGTCAGCTGATATCTGTCCTACATATCCTCATAATATGCACTTCTTGACTTCCTTCTTTTATGCCTTTACAACAAACACATTCAGTAACCATCTACTTTGAGTGGCTCTTGGGCCTTGTATTGAGTGAACAATAGTATGAAAAACATCAATCTTCAAGTGTCTTTTATAAATGGTAACTGTCTAGGGAATTTTGAATCAAACCCATTATTCAATCTACAGAGTAGCTTATTCTTATTCCATTGTCCATGCTAGATGAAAGCTTATAGCCACATCACATTGATCATGTACAATCATTGAAGTTAAGCAACATTGAGCCTGATTAGTACCTAGATGGGTTACCACTTGGGAATAACAGGTCCTGTAAGCTTAAGTGTGTGGGTAGTATAATGTATAATGTCTTGGAATTGTTAATTGGAGAGCTGAGGTCCAATTCTTGTTGTGTTTGTTATATTCACTTACATACAAGTACCCTTGGGAAAGGTATGAATCCACTTGTTCTCGCTACATCTATGAGTTAATTAGTAAGACTTGTATCACTAAACTATTATTATCTCCAAAAAGAAAACAGAAAATTCTTACAATCTAAAGATATTTTCTGGCTTTAAATAAGTTGCAATGGGTTGATAAGCCATAGAAAATGAATTAATGAATCATGCTAGATGATATCTGAAGTTAATTTGTCCTTTTTTGATGTTTCCTACATCTTATGCTGAACCAGAGGAAGTCTGACACAAGAATTGAACTTTTATCCAAAAGCAAATCTACTTACCTAAGTAGATTTGCTTTTGGATAAAGATTCATTCTTTACTGAGACTTTCTGAATGTTGTGGAAGAATTAAACATAGAATTTTCTAGTTTTTTACTTAAAATTTAAGCAACTTTCAGCACTCAATATTGGTCATTGGAAATTCAGACAAAAGAAATTATCAGTGGTCATGAATTTGTAACCCACTCTCCACTACATTGGTCTTCATGTTCCTTCAGACCACTCTGAGTACCATCTTGCTGACTCCTCCTCACTCATTAATGTGTTGCTGGTTTGTCACTGGTATCGTGTTGATAAGCATGGTTCCACTCGATCTAACTGGCATTTGTATCCTTTACGATCATTCACTCCTCTACTATGTTGTGTTTTTGATCTCAGAGAGTGAGAAGATCACTGATGGAGTAAACTGAAGTGAAGAACAGGTCAATGGTGAGGAGCTACACAAAAAAGAATTCTTTGGAATAAGGAATTAACCCAGGTTAAAAATGTAACAACGATTTGGTTTATATATGATTTCTTCTATACAGTGGTTTTAATCCTTCCCACTCACTGTTATAATCAATTGACACTGGGATCTTCTTTTGGAGTTTACAGCCTGGGTTAGTAGTAATTTAAATTTCTATGTTCTGGTCTTCAGGGCTGGTACAAGGTCTTGATCAGAAGGCCTCTGCAAATGATCTGGATTCCAGTAGCAATAAGTAATGTGAGAACTCTTCATTTGTTATCCAAACCTCCAGCTTATATGGAGTCCTGCATCTAACAGGTGTGGTGTTTTTCAGGGTCTGGTGTTCTGTTATCTACCACCCTTAGCATCAAACTGTTTCTAAAATCCCCTATTTTCAAAATTAGTTTTACTCAAGTAATTTTCCAAATTTAGTGGTTGTTTAGCCCCCTTTTTGAAAGTGGTCAGAGGAATCAAGCCACCCTTTAACTCCAACTTCCTTCACTACTCATCTCACTCCATTGCTCCATGTAGGCAGTGATAATCTCTTTCTCTCTCACACCTTCTCAGCATCCAACCTCAGCCCACTTCAACTGTCTTTGTGATGAATCTAAACTTTTAGAATGTGCAGGCGAAAAGGAGATTTCCAGTAATTAATCTTTCTTTATCAGCTTGTCTCACATTGGTTGTTTTAGATGATTTCCCAAATTGTTTTATTCATTTTCAGTCATCATGGATGGGATAAAAAAGGAAAGAGAATATTCCCAACATCCTTGGTAATAAAAAAAACATCTTTCTCTGTTTATGTGTTTCTCGGTCAACCAGGCCACACAGCCTATTGCCTATGGTCACTCTAGGGCGAGTAATTAATTTTTCTTTATCTGCTTGTCTCCACAAGAATCCAAAATAATGTTGGCCATAAAAATTTTGATGAATGTCATGGCAATTAAAATGAATGAACCCATCCCCAATCTTAGGCGCTAATCTTTATTTTTGTAGGGATATTTTTCTTCTGGGTGGCTGATTCAAACAAGATGTTTTTCCTGGCTCTTTGTCCTAAACAATTTAGATGTTATTTCGGTATACTACCTGTCTTCTTTATTGACAACATGTTTTTCTATTTTCCAGGACTGACATCTTTGATAATACATTGTTTCTTTCTTATCAATGGGAATTGGGGAAGAACTGGTAGTTTTAGTTTTGCTCAATTTTACTGAATTCCACTTAGTTAAATTTGGGTTTTATTCTCCTTGGAACAGTTGCATTTTATTATTTTGAAACATAATTTTTTCAGTGCATTTCCTTTTTAATTTTCTTAACTTTTCAATTTTTTTTTTTAATTTTCTTCCACTTTGCCTACAAATTTCAACAATTAGCATCCAGTTAGTAGTCACTTTTCTCTTCCTTTTTCTTTCTTTCTATTTTTTTTTTTAACTTGCCAAGGTCCCAGTGACATAATTTAATGCAATAAGATTATTATATACAATTAAAACTGATATAATTAAGTGCCGTAATTAATTGCTGTTTTGTCATGGAGCAGTATCAAAATAATACTATATGAAAATTTGAAAAATTGTGAAAAACTAACATGTGAAAATTTCATGGTTTTCCTATTTTAATATTCTGATGAATCTTAATTCTTAATTTAATGATTGATTAATCTCATGGTGAGTTCTATGACAATAAAAAATCTGTAGAAATATCCCCTGTCACATTGTTAAATATTTGAGCTTAAAAACTTTAGCAAAATATTGCAATAAGAATCATAAATATTAATGCTGATTGTTGTTTTAAGAACTAGGTGCAGATGAAAATATTTGAACTTTTTCCATTTCATTGAAATGGCTGTTAAATACATCTATATTCCTTTCTTTCATTCATTTTCTCACTAAAACCAGGTAGTGTTTTTCCCCTCTTTTCACATGATCAAAACGGAATGCTCCATTATTTATGATGTATTTACAGGATACAAATCCGTGCAAACTAACAAAATTGTGATAGGATAATAATGTTGGAAAGACATGTTGATATTGTCTCCGTTATTTTAATAATGCAGTACAATAAGAACTTGATTGATTCATATATAATGTGTGTGTGTGTGTTTTAAGTTTCATTATGACTGATAAAGTACTGCAATTATGTATTTTTTTCTTTTTTTCTTGTGTTTGCATAATTTTTACTTTTCTGGACATAAAGTATGTAGAAATTGACTGATTGTACTGTATGTCCAAGTGCTTTTGGCTATTCTTTCAGCCATTATCAAAGATGATTTTTATTTTTAACTGAATGTATGAATTTTTTTGCATATATGTAGTTATAGGAATGTTTTTTATTTTCCAAACATAGTCAACACATTGTAGCCATGTTCATAGTTGATATTATTGAGTGTTGGCATTTTCATTTTTTATTCATAATGCATCCATTATTTTTAGCCTTTGTTTTACATGTGGATGAGGCTATTATATTTGTATTATCAACAAGTATGTTGCGGATGGGTTTTGTAGATCTTCATGAGTATTTAAATGAGACCTAATTCAGCTATGGTCAGAGAAATGTAACATGAGTCTTCTTGTTAGGCATGTTGTAGTATATCCAATATAATTATTCATGAATTTGATTTGATCAGGAACAGTTCTTTAAGTGATATGTGAAATCAGAAATAATATTGATTTTATGTAATTTAAATTTTGCAGGTGAGTTGTTGTTTTTGATGATAAGGTTAGCTGTTTTAAATTTTTAAAATTTAAACAGATGCAGACCTACCACACTTCATCTACAACATACTCGTAGAAAATACAACTATAATAGCCTCATCCACATATAAAAAAAAAAAAGGTTATTGTACTTTCCTCTTTGATTTAGTTAGTTTTTTTTTTGTCTCCCAAGTTTTGTAAATAGTCTGTTAATCATAGTCATAAAATAACACTGCTACCTGACATCACCAGTGAAGGGAAAATAACACTTTATCTCCCTTGTACTGATGACATCAAAATATACGGATACACTTAGTGTTTTATTCGATTAACAATAAAGTAAGGTCTACATCATTAATCACTTAATATTGGTTGATACAAGGTACAACACAATTAAAAAGTTTTGTATTTTGTAAACAACCTTTGTCTTTTGCAACTTCTTAGCAGTAAATAAGTGATATATATTTATTTTATCATTAAAGATTGATTTTCATTATGTTAAACTTGAAATAAACCCATTTAACTTTCATTACAATGTTTTCTTATTCATATGAACCTTTTCTATCTGTCTTGATTACTCTGTACATTATATATGGTCTGAGTTTAACTTCAACAACTATTAACTGTAGTAGTAGACAACATCATTGTGTTAAGTTGTTTAAATTCATATTAAATTCATTATTTGTGTTTATAATTGTTCTCCTTTTAGTGTTCTGGCTAAAAGCAAGATTCTCTATGCTTCAAGGACAACTTGAGGAATCGATAGAATACTTTGACCGGGTAAAGTATTACATACATATATTTTTTCACATATCTCTCTCTCATTCTATCTCTATCTCTCTCTACTTTTTTATCTCTATATCTCTCTCATATATATATATATATATATATATATATATATATATATATATATATATATTTTATTTGGTTAAAAGCTGCCTTATTGGGCAGCATTTAAGCTATCTCCTGTGGAGAACTCTTAATTGGGTCTTTATTGCAATAGGTAGGGAGGAGTAGATGTGATAAACTACAGAACTCAAAATTGATCACTGCATTTAAGTATTGCATTAATATCTAAGCTTACCTTTTAAAAGTTTAACGATAATTATTCTATTGCCACTTAAAGACAATTTGATGTAAATAGGTCCTTACTTTCCGTACAAACAATTATTTTTATTTTATGGGTGACTTTCACTGGATTTCACAATTAATTTTGATTATTCCCAAAGTTATCAAAATTGTTATCATACAAAATGTTTTTAATTTGCTCATGGAGTTGACCTGATTCTAAAATGCTATGATATATTGAGCTATGGCCTCTAGTAGTAAAGTTGAAAAAGGGTGACACAGTGGCACACTGACAGTCACATTTATTATATAGATTACTTACACTTTTTTTTTTAGTGGAAACCCACATTTGAGTAGACGTTCCACTTATTTATTAAATAGTAGATTTATTTTCAGCTACCGACCTGAATACTGCATATTTTTCTTTTATAAAATTTCTTGAATATTCAAGCTGATAGACAAAAATAAATAAATATACTGTTTAATAAATAAACAGTGTCTACTCAGATATAGGTATCAAATAAAAAAAAATAACATTTAAGTAATAAAAATCCATCAATTCTTTAGAAATTGCTTTGTTTACATTAGGATACAAAACTGTGTATATATATATATATATATATATATATATATATATATATGTGTGTGTGTGTATATATATATATATATATAGAGAGAGAGAGAGAGAGAGTTAGGTAACTCAAATGACCAGATATATTTTAACTACCTTCACTCCTTGGCAATGTTTATTGTTTTAAAAGTGATGATTAGAATTGTAATAAAATTGTAGTAAAAACAGAACCAGTGAATAAACTTATACCAAAGCTTTATTGCACTTTACTCTGTCTATTCATCTTCTGGCGGATATTACAGGGTGCTTTTCATACCTCCTAGATCTTAAGTGGGGAGTAACTGATGATTTATAAGTACATTCTCCCCTACGTATTTTATTCATAAGGGAGAAAATTTCTTAGGTGTCCAGGCTCTTTACAGATTCTCTGTGAACTCCTGGGTAGTTTTTGTATTGGACTATTCAGGCTTGAAGATCTCTTATTTTGAGCTCGCCCGTTAGTCCAGGAATGGAAGTATCTCTGGATTTGTTTCTGGATGTACCCGCTTCTTGGGCATTGAGCGCTTATCAGGATCATCTGGAGTTGTCAGAGTCTCGGATATTAATCCCTCTGAAATATCTGATGGAGGCGCAATGGAAGCTGTCATCATCCTGGGGTAATGTGTCAGGAGTGATTCCAGCACGGTAATCTTCCGATTGGTTTTCAGTGTCAAAGAGATCAGATCTCCTCACTAGGGTGGTTTTAGGATCTGGTACATCTCCAGCAGGAGACAGATCTCTAAGAAAGACTGTAGTTTGCCTTCCATCTGGGTGTCACATGAGTGCATATTGTGGGTTTGCTTCTATTAGTACCACCCCGCCTACCAGAGGTGGGGGTCATGTTTGGTACAGTGAATGTGGTGTCTCAGTAGAAACGTACCTGGTTGAGAGAGCCAAGTGGGAAGTGAAGTCCCAGTCGAACTCCATCATTGGAAGGGTAGAAATCTTTTGTCTGAGGTGACATTGGTGGCTGTACATAATAGCGATCTGATGGCATACAGGGGTACTGGAAGGAGATTTTCCCAATTATTTATTGAGCATTTGTGTGTTGAAGCAGCCAATTGAATTGTTTTCCAAATTAAGCTGTCATATCTCTTGCATTGACTGTTACCCTTGGGGTTATATGACTTACCGCCACTCTGTGTTCTTGTTTTTCATCCATTATGATTTTGTCGATTATTCTTTGAAAACTGGCTACTCCATTAGTTACCCCAAATGGTATCCTCTGGAACTGGTACAGCCGGCCAACTGCTTCAAATTCAGTGTAGGTTCTGTTTTTAGGCTTAATATCCACCTGATGATAAGCACTTTTCAAATCTAACATGCTGAAAATACTATATTTAGCTATTTCACTTAGCATTTTCTCTATGCATGGCAACGGAAAAGCGTCCAGAAGAGTGAACCGGTTAATTGTCTGAGAGTAATTGATAAGAATACTTTTTTTTTGGTTTTCTATGTTTGTTATTAATACTTGGGCTCTCCATGTTGACATACTTGGTTGAATTATTCCTTCTTGAAGCATTCTTTTTATTTTGGACCCTATAAATTGTTTGTCGTCATGCGAATAATGTTGGCTCTTAATAGCTATTGGCTTACAGTCCTTTGACAAGTTTTCGAAAAGTGAGGGGTATGGAATGTTGGCTGCAGTCAGTCCGCAAATCTTTAATACAGGTTTATCTCTGCCAAACAGGATTTCTATGCTAAAAAAATTGTGGCCCAGTAGTACCTCACAACAAAGCTCTTTCATTATCGATAACTCAACAGCTTTATATGAGATGCCATTATAATGTAGGTCGGCCAAATAATATTCACTTATGCGTGATGACAAAGCTGTTTGCCATTGTCACTCTCTTGGAGGAGGGATCATAATGCCATTTGTGAATTTTTTGCTACACTGTCTCTGATATAGTTTTCCGAACTGCCAGTATCTAATAACGCGTTGGTGAGGACTCCGTTAATTTTAATTTTTTTAATAGTTTTTGAAAGATGGTCAGGGAACATGGCCAATGTTGCAGAAAATGATAAGGAACTGACAGGATGGTTAGCTTTGTAAGAGATATTTTTAAATGAACGACATACCTTGGAAAAATGTCCTATTTTTTCACACTTATGGCAACAAGCTTCCCTGGTAGAACATGAAAGTCGTGAGTGTAGATTTAGACTGCAGTAGTAACATGTCCGTTTGGTTGATGCAGCAGTGACAGGTTGTTCTGGGGTGTTTAAAGGTGGAACATCCTGGGCAGGAGAGTAAGTCGAATCATCATAGAGAAGTGGGATAGTAGGAACAGGTTGTTTTAGAGCAATACTGATAGTATCGTTTGAAAGTATGTTATGGAGTGATTTCACAGTGGAGGCTTGTATTTATACTAAGTCGGTCCTAAAACAGGTTCGACATACAAAACGTTAGGAACTTGATATAATAGGTATGACGCAGTAATCTAGTTGTGGTCGCTGATACTTTTAGTATCCGACTAACGGTCATCCGACATCGACTGACTGACCAACTCACTGAGCGACTCTACTTATTATAAGTGGAGAGTTTATTAACTAAAGAATAGGTGTATTCCACTATAACATCCCCCCCTAAAACTTTACTCCATAGGAGTAAACAATTTTCTTTATTTATTTTTCATATTTTTTTACAGGAAATATGAAGAAAAAACAACAAAAAAATTCTTTTTTTTTTTTTTTTTTTTTAACATCGTAGCGTATTTCCTACGTTTTTTGATCCACTTTTAAATGATCAGTTGGCTTTCTTTTTTCTTCTGGATCGGCGTACCTCCAGTAAAATTGTTGCAGGCGTTGTTAGATCAACATATCGCAAAGCACCTCCATCGGCATTTCTTCCGTGGGACCGCTGTCAACCACGTCCGAAAAATGTTGTCTGATCTGGTTACTGCACGTGAATTTTTCGCCTTTCACCGAGTACATCATATTACCAATCTGCTTTTCTATTTTTTTTGGTACCACCATAGTGTTACCAGAAACAACCTTCCGCTTTGAGCTTCTTAAGGATGGGATCACAGTTTCTGTAGGTTGTTCTTGTGGTTTTATTTGTTCAGCCTCTAGCTTCCTTTTTGTTGATCTTGTGCTTCTTAACGTTGTCTGTGGTAACTTCAGTTGATTTAAATCATTTAATAATACTGCATGTCCTTGTCTGTGGGTAACTCGCTCCCCAGTTTTTCTCGGTGTCGGCTTCATCTTTACTTTCTGGAGCTTGTTTTTCACATATATCATTGGTGTTACCCATTCAACATTTTTAAATACACCGGTTTTCTCTAATCTGTCCAATTCTTTATCTATCTGTTTAATTGAAGCAAACAGCACATTCCTTTTCTTTTTGAATACTGCCTGAGCATTTTCTTTTGACTGGAATTTTGCCTCCATCTTGGTACACGTTCCCAAACCTGGAGAAAAAACAGTAGGAAATGTTTCCTTAAGTTTCCTTACTAATTTTTGGGCTTCTGAGTTTTAACTTTCAACCTTGTAACAGAAAGAATTTATCGGTAGATCCCATAATTGGAATTCTGTTATCCAATTCGTACCAAGTAAGTTTGTGGTATTTTCTATGACAAATAGTTTAGCTTTTTGCGTTTTTTATTTAACGTGACGTTTGTAACAAATTCTCCAATAAATTGTATTTTTTCTCCCATCACTGACCTCGCAATTTTATTTGTCTTCTATAAAGTTGGTTTCCCCAACTTCTTCCACGTATGCAAATTTATGATAGATAGGTCGGAACCAGTGTCGAGTTGCATTTTTATTTTTTTATTACTTATTTCGGTGGTAACAAATTTTCTGGTTATTCCATCATTCATCTCGGACTTTAATTTTCTTATTTTAAAGTCTTTATTTTTTGACCTGCAGTGCAAACTTTTATGACCCACTCTTTTACAGTTGAAACATTTTTTATTCCTAAAATTGCAATATCTGTACCAGTGAAGTTCACCGCAACCAAAACATGGCTTCGGGAGTTTTTGTTTATTTTTCTCTGGTATTTCACTTTTTGTTTGATAATCCGCAATTTTAGACTTCTTTTTGGTAGACTGACTTTCTTTTTTGTAGCGTATTTTCCTTACATGAGAAACGCCAGACTGTTTTATCTTTTTCGAATCTTTCTTTACGCTAACATATCTTGTGCAGTCTTCTGTCAACTTCTGTATCGTAATCCTAGGTTCGTTTTCCAATTTTGCCAGCACTAATTTTCTCAACTCTGTGTCTCTTTCCGATACCAGCCCTTAAACAAATACTAAGCACTTAAAATTGTCAGCGCTTAACTCTGCTAGCTTGAATTCTTCACAATGCTTATTCATATTGGCTGCGTACGTTATATAGTCTTGTTCGTCATCTTTCATCAGATTCAAACATTTCCACCTCTTGTGAAACAAAGATGTCTTTTTACTAAATAATTCACTTAATATATTTACCACCTCAGTAAAAGTCAACTCGCTAGTTTTTTCAGTAAAATGTAATTTACCAATTTGTTATGCTCAGCAGTTCCTAACTTGCTTAAAAGAAGCCTAACCTTCTTTCCTTTAGACCACGAGTGGCAGTCCTTGTTATACACGTCCGTATATTTTTTATAATACTCTTCATCTGGACTGTACATGAATATTTCAGTTGAATTCCATATTGTATTCTCTGGGAAAGAATCATTTTGTAGATTTTTCTCTTTCCTCTTCTCAGTTATTTCCAGAATTTTATTTTGAAACTTCTTATGCGTTCCATTTCTTGTTGAAACTGCATTTGTCTATTAAAAGTTTCCTCTTGTAGTTGCATCTGGAATGTCTTCTGTTGCTCTAATATTGTCATCTGTTGTTCCGTCTGGAACTTAAAAAAAAATTCCTGGAATATATTTTTGCATCTCTCCATCTTCGCAAAAAGTTTACACAATGCTTAAATATTGTAGAGGGGGGGTCCTATGAATTTGCAATTCGTGACCTATTTGAACAAACTGTCTTATCGAGAAAAAAAAATTTTTCTCAGTTGAGAATACAACAGATTTTTTCGTCACTCAGTTGACATCTTGTCTTTCAAAAAACTTTGCCAAGTTTTTTTTTTTTTAAGTATGAATCCGAGATTTTGTCACTGAAAATGTGACGAGCAAATTTTTTTTTTTTCTCTCCATATGAGTACGAATTTCATCACCAAATAATGTGGCGAGCAAATTTTTTTTTTTTTTCTTCCACCGTATGAATTCGAATCCCTTCACCAAATTTGTTATGGCGAGTGAATTTTTTTTTTTTTTCCTCTGTATGTTTGTTATGGAGTGATTTCACAGTGGAGGCTTGTATTTGTACTAAGTCAGTCCTAAAACAGGTTCGACGTACAAAACGTTAGGAACTTGATATAATAGGTATGACGCAGTAATCTAGTTGTGGTCGCTGATACTTTTAGTATCCGACTAACGGTCGTCCGACATCGACTGACTGACCAACTCACTGAGCGACTTTTCGTTACTATTACTACTTCTACTTATTATAGGTGGGAGAGTCTATTAACTAAAGAATAGGTGTGTTCCACTATAACACAGTACGAGCTGCACTGCTGTATAGCAAGCTCACAAGTATAAGCTTGTTCATAAGCAGCTTTCAAGGTAAGGGTCTTATTTTCAAGAAGGTGTTGCCTCACTTGAACATTGCATAGGCCATTTATGAAGGCGTCTAGTATATGTTCCTCTTGTGCCTCCAAAGCAGTCATGGGACAAATGCTTAATGTCTGAAGGGTCTTTAGGAAATGATTCAGTGTTTTGCCAGATTCCTGTTACCGGATAGCAAGTATATGTTGGGCAAATAGTTCATTTTTGGGTTTCACATAGGTTGTGTGTAATCTTTCTTTCACTTCTTCATAAGTTTTACAGTCTATAATGATATCATTGATTGAATGAGACACATTGTCAGAAGAGCACATTTGTTAATAAGCTGATTCAGGTTCTCAAGGAGTAGAGTTTCAATGAAGTTCGTAAAAGTTTCGAACCAGTGTGTCCAGCATTTATTTGCTGCTTTGCTTTTTGAGTCATAGGTAAATCGTTCTGGCTGCATATAAAGTTCCATTGAAAGTGCAATAAATTGTAGTAAAAACAGAACCAGTGTATAAACTTACACCAAAGCTTTATTGCACTTTACTCTGACTACTTATCTACTGACGGATATTACAGGGTGCTTTTTATACCTCCTAGATCTTAAGTGGAGGTAACTGATGATTTATCAGTAGAAAAACCTAGACATATGATGAAAGTGAATTTATACATGTTTTTCTTGAGAATTTACACCAAAAATATTATACACTATTTATTAGATTGTTTATTTACAATAATAATTTTATATTTACAACATTCTAAAATGTAATACAATGCAATATTTATCATTTACCAATTTATAAAGAAATAAATATAAAAACAATTTCTTATTCATAAATTTATAAACATTTACTAAATTATTAAAAATGTCAACAATTATAAGGAAATCCTTATTATTTACCATTCTATAAAGTTTGAATTGATTGGCAATTAGTCAGTTTTGCCAACCATTCTGATAAACAATATAATAGATAGTATAAGTTCCATTTCATCATATGTTTAGGTTTTATTACAATTCTAGTCATCACTTTTTAAAACAATAAACATTACAGAGGAGTGAAGGTAGTTAAAATAATAGCGGTGTCAAGGGAAAAACCACCCTTTTGACACTCCTTTTGTTTTGTTTTCAGGCTCAGTGGTCCAAGTTTACCAAAAATACTTTCAATAAAGCTACTTAGATAAACCCATTCCAAGTTATTTTTCTTAATTCACTGTTGTAAATTTGGTAAAGTTGTCAACTTTTCCAATTTCCCTCAGCTTTAAGTTATAAACATACAATTTAAAATGTACCCAAATTATGCTGCTTAGAATCTTTTTGTATAAGTAATAGATTATCTCTTGTAAGTAATAGATTATCTTTTGTATAAGTAATAGATTATCTGCAAGAGCCATTTGATGTAGACAATTGGGTGCTTCTATGTTCTTAAATGATCTGCATTTGGCATATTCTTTATGTCTCTTCAATGATATGATTTTTACTTTTATTTAGGCATTAGAGTACCTTCAATATGGGCAGGAAACTGATGGTCTCTCGATCGTGCAACTTCCAAATTGCAAAATGGATGATGTTATCTCAGTAGGTGAGTCATTTTACTTAATAATGTTCGTCATTAAATCAATGATTTTCTTTTTTCAAGATAAACCTCTTTTTTTTTTTTTCAAGATAACCCTTGTTTAAAATATGAAGACTTTTTATGAAATGCATACATTATTATAATGTGATACATTAAATTATTATTTCAATATTGCTATATGCTTTGAAAAGAAACCTGGTTTTATATTAGTTTATGACTATATTATATATTTTAAATTTTATAATTACTTCCCACATACACATCCCAGATCTTTGAGAAAGCAAAAGTAGATGACATGATATCATTTCTTAAAACAGTGGACCTCTACCAAAAAATATAAACCAAATAAGAATGCCAATAAAATCAATTTCTCTACAAACTGTATATCCAAAAAGAATACATCAATGAAACCAGACTCTTGACAAAAACCCTTTTTATAAATATATGTTAATGAAATGTAATCTATAAACTATCTTACAAAGAATACATATTCTTTTCATACAAACTTATCCTAAAAATCTTGTCAATATTAAATAACCCATTGAGGTTGATATGCCATAAAACAAAACAAACTATACACATCCCATAGGAAGAAAAATAGGTATTTACCAAATAGTCTATGTTGCTACCGGTTGTGACACAAGGTCAAAGTTTAAAGTAGGTTTAATGGCAATACTGTGCAAAAATTGCTCAAACCCCCTTGGCACTTTTCCCTTTTATGGATGCCTCAGGGGTTGGCAATGAAACCAGAAGAGGTATTGCCTGGGAGAAGGCCCCCTGTGGCTTGGGCTTAATATTTTTTTAAACTTCCTCTGGCAAAATAAATAATCTGTAATAGAAGTTCTCTTAATGCTTTTATTAATGAGAATTAATTCAACAACAGATGTATTTAAATCATTTTCTGATGTTTTTGCTAATAATAAAATTAGGGTTTACAGCCATATCATGTTGAAACACCGGTTTCTGTATGATCATTGAAGTTAAGCAATGTCAAGTCTAGTCAGTACATTGATGGGTGACCACTTGGAAATACCAGGTACTGTAAACTGTGTGGCTGGTGTAATGGATAATGGCTCAGAGTTCCAATTCCCATTGGGTTCTTTATATTCACTTATGTGCAAATACCTTTGGGAAAAGTATGAATCCAACTTTTTCCTCCAGCTATGAGTTAATTAGTAAGATTTGTATAAATAAACCATTATTAATTAAAAAAGTAGTTCTTACAATCTAAAAATATTTTCTGGCTTTAAAGAACATTCAAAGGGTTGATAAACCATAGAAACGAATAAAAAAAATAAATAAACAATAATAAAATAGCCAAAACAATAATAAAATTTAAATCAATATTAAAATAATAAAAAAAATGATAATAATAAAATAATAACAGATTTGTTTCACTTATTGAAACAATTTTTTTAATTGTGTACAAAAGTTATTTATTTACATCTTTTTCATTTAAATCAAATTAAAATGAAATTAAAATTTGATATATTTAAATAATTCTGTGATGTTTTTATTAATAATAATTAAAAATAATACTTATATTAATGATAATAATAATAAAATCAATTTAGTGAACACACTATTTTTTGGTTGTTTAAATAATTTAGTACAGTTTTTTTTAATGTAAATATAATTGAAAAGATTACTTTGGCTTAATTCTGTAAATATTCTAATAAATGTAGTATTTTAAATGAACAAACAATTTAGATTTGAAATTTGATCATTTTGCCATCAGCAAAGTGACAGGTATTGAACTAGTATTAATAATAATATATATATATATTTTTTTTTTTGTTGTTTGAATTTCTGGGATGAAGTGTTATCAATATTTACACTATTTACATGTGGTCTTTTGTCCTCATCTTTGTTGTTGTTATCATAACATTTTGTTCAATGTATCCTCTGCCCATCGTCAGGTGTATGTTGATCCAGATAACCTACAGAGAATTCTGAACTGATGAAGACAATAGTCCATGTGTAAACAGTGTAAATAATATTACTCTTATTGATAATTTTTGTTAAGCAATATTTTCACTGAATCTGGACAACTCCTATCCTGGGTTGAGCAATAAAATTATAGTTGCAGACAATTTTTTTTTGTAAAGCCTAAAAAAAAATCAGTTTTCAGAAATTATTTGGTAATAAATAGAATTATTCTTAAAGTTCTTTTTTTTTAAATTTTTTCGAAATATTTTTAGGTGTGTCATTGAATTAGTATATACATGCACATTAGGGTAGGTCGATTTTGGAAGTGTAAAAAGAATAACTCGGGGAAAGTTGCAAAATAACATCAAAAATTACGACCAAAAATATTTTTCTTCAAAACTTCGTATTTATTTGAGCAATCGAACTTAAAGACAAAATAAATTGCGATTTTTATCATCATATCGGTGTCACCAGAGACATGTGTATGTTAAATTAAAACCGAAGATTTAATGAAAAGAAAAGAAAATAATGCTTAATAATGGATATTTTTGAGCTTATTATCTAGTCTCTTAATAAATTAAATGAAATTACTCAAAATAAAAAATAAAACACACTAAAATATTTAGTTTAAAATAAAAATAACTACTTATGAACGGCGTCTTTTTTACTGGATATTTTTTCGGTATTTTCCGGTAGTAATTACCTCCTCTTACAAGTTCGGTTTATTTTTGTTTACTGTTTATGCTTTTAACTCGCACAAATATCTATTTTATTTCTCATCAAAATATACTTAACTATTTAAAAAAATACAACTTTTATAATTATTGTAATTTGTTTATATTTTTGAAAATTAGTGTTTTATTAAAAAGCCTGTTTACAAGCTAATCCCGGAACTAACTCTACTTTTATGTAAATAAACATTACTTTTAATTTAATAATGCATTTCAATCTTTATTTTCCAATTTATTTTGAAAAATATTTTTGTGTAATTTCTGATAATACATATATTTTCTTTGTCAGATATTTTAATAAGAATGGCAGGAAAAAGAATCCCAAAGGGCCTAGCATACAGTGGAATTTTGATAGCCTTATCAAAATCCCCCGGTATGCTGTTGAGTTGATCAGGGGTGATGTATCTTTCAATCTTAGAGCCAGCCTTGCCAATGCATTGCTCTTGGATTTCAGGGCTATGGTCCTTCTTATCCCCAATATTAACATAAAAAGATATTTATATAGCACAGCTGTTTGAGGTTTCCTATAGCCCCACTGAACTTAAATAAAGTCAATTCAGGTTTCCTATGGTAAAAATTTTCTTTCCCAAGTGAAAATCATCACAAAAATGGCAAAAGTCATTTTGTCACAGCTTATTTTCTCTCAAAAAATGGATTTTCATACTTTTATAGGGGTAAAAAAATTGAAAAATGACTGTTTTATCATCATCTAAACTAATATCAAGGAAACTTTTGATGTGAACCCCATGAAACTAGGTATTTTCTGAAAGCAAAAGATATATTCTTTCATTTAAAAGTAAAATTAGCTAGTGTAAATGACTCAAAATTTTTTTCAGGAGGGTAAAATGTGAAAAAATAGTGAAAATTTTGCATTTTTTTTCTTGTTCTAAACAAAAATTTTCCCCATTAATGGGAAATTAACCATTTTTTTTTTAAATCAGAAAGCCTAAATCATAATCAAACTATTTCAGGCATAAAATTGAGAGTTTTGAAGGAAATCAACATTCCTAGGGGTTCAAAATGCGACAAAATCCGTTGGTAATTTTCAATTATATGACTGCCAAGGGTTAAAAAAAAATTGACACCTGGCCACAGAAATCTTTAGTAAAGGCAAAAGATTTATCTGCAATTCCTAACCACCAGAAACCAAAAGTTTTTTTTTTCCAAAAAAAGCAGCGATAAGGAAAATTAAACCTAATTGACTTTAACATATGGCTCAAATTTCAGCCAGCCAGTCAGCAATAAATGGTTAAACCTTGTCGAACAAGTTGTAATAAAACCCACTACTCCCAGATAAAAGCAAAGAGTGAAAAAAAGGGTTCAACATTACTAGGGCTTGATATAAGGTTTGAACAATTTTTTTTTTTGTTTTAACCCCCGTGTTTGAACAAACACTTAGATGTTGTTTTTTTTTTTATTTTTATTTTCCATTTAGACCCATTCAATGATGTTCATGCCAAATGAAAGCAAAGAATGAATTTTGAATGATGTTATTTTTGCCAAAATAAATATTTTTTATAAAAAAAGGATTTTCTCATCAAATTTGGCATAATTTCTTAATGCTAACTTTATTTTCACAGAAATGTTAATTACCAAATAATTCCAAGAAAAATAGCCGGATCCTATAATGTCGCCCAAAAAGGTCCAGAAGTTTACTGATTGATCAAAAACCTGTTGCGATAATTGTATTTTTTCATGGTCAGTTTCCATTATTTCATCTTGATGTTATCATTTTCGGACATCCAAGTCATCAAGGATTCAGGAAAACAGTTTGGCATATTTTTTCTTTAAGAAATTTACATTCTATGAGGTGTTTAAAATGTTACTGACAAATGGCATTTTTTTCCGAATTTTTCATTTATGCACCATGTTGGATTTTCCTATATGACAAAAACAAGGGTTTTTAAACAGCCGTGATAGATAAATATAAAATTGATCCATATCAATTAAAGTTAAAATATGATAAATGCCCAAAACAGATCATGAATATAGGACTAGAAATGTAGAACTACTTTGAATATTGGATGTTGATGGGAGGATAATACTCACAAATATTCACCAATGAAACTGTACAAGAAGGAAGATATGTCTGATGGTAAATGGAAAAAACTCAAGAATAGAAAAAAACAACCATAAAACCAAAACGTCAGTTTTTGTCACATACAAGATGACATATGAAAGGTGAATATCCAAAGAATTAAGCATTCAGCCTAAACAAACTGGAAAGTATAAGGAATGGTTCTTCATGAGGGGGATGAAGAACTAATATTTTAATTGGGATTCAATTGATGATTGAAGGAACTATTGATCCAGAAAATGCTGACAAACATTAATGCAGATTCAGGCTGTCCCAGGATGGATTTGCTGGATGCTCTAGAAACTGAATAACTTAAAAGAAATAATGTATTTGAAGTAGTTCCTTTTTGAAAACCGATTTTATTATCTTTTTAAACATGTAGATAATATCTGAAAAATATAAGGATATTCAAAAAAACTAAAACAAGATTAGTAGCTGTGGATTAAAGATTTACACTGACAAACTTATCAAAGATTTCCCACCTGTTGAGAGTGTCTCTGGATTCTATTTTTTTTGAAAAAAGAGATTGATGTCCTGAAAAAGACAATCTATTGATATAACAGTGGCATTTCTAGAAGGTGATCCATTGGAAAATGGTTTTACATCAATATTGAAAATTGGTCCATTAAACCAGGCAAGGTGGTTATATCCAAACTCAAGTGAAACTTGTGTTATCCATCATAATGATACCCACAAAATGGTTGGTTTCTTGTACCATTCCAGAAAGTTCAATAAATTTTATTGTGATCTCTACAAAAACCAAACCAAAAATTGAAATTGCTGAAATATATGGACCAGAACTGCCCAATCTATATTTTCAATTTGATGAGTTCAAAAGCATTTGGAAATATTGCAGGTGATGAATTAAACACTACAACCTGAAAAATATACAGATAAAACATTGCTAGACTCTCACTGAGTCAAAATCTTATCTTCCTTAAAACTTATTCCATTGGTGAAGAGTGTGTGTTTCTCTACCCAGACATATTGGATCAGACTTCCTGCATTTTGGAACCAACCCCAAGAGAATGCTTCACATCACTACAAAATTAACCTCTTCAATCAGGGATCAAACATTATCTGACATATCTTCATAAAAACATCAATTGTTTTTGCCTGTAAAATAAATTTGAAAAACCCAATTTAGTCACCCTCTATTTTGAAAGGGGACAACTTGTCCTGGGTTTAACAGTAGTAAAGAAATTGTTTTTCTGTCTGTGTGATTAATCATGTATATAAAGTGATATTAATTTCTTTAAATTTTTTATCACATTTCAACAAAAAAATCCAATTTTTTTTATCAGGCAAAAGGCCTTTTATTGTTATCTACAAGTTTTGTTAAAAACCTTTTCAAATTTGGTCAAGAATGCTTTAAATATTCATCATTTAGCTTAGGTTTAATTGTTTAAAAAAGTTTAAACTCAACAGGAAGACTAAATTTATTTCCCAATAATCCACTTGGGAGTTTGAATTTAACCAATTAGTGTGGAAAAAAAAAAAACTAATCCAAAATTCAAATTCTAGTCAAATTGACCTTTGTCAATTTTCTTTTTCATTTTATGATGGTCAATACATGAATCCATCTCCCCATCTACATCCCGGGCAAAGCAGATAACTGCTAGTATCTTATAAAACTGAATTTGAAACCAACCTGAAGAGGAATAGCCTATAAAAAGTCAATTTTCCATTAGACACACCAATGCTTATTCAATAAAATGAATAAATTAGTTATGCCAATTTTAATGGAATCATTTTAAGGATTTTATCAAATTTCACCATAAATATTAAAGCAATACATACTTACATTTTTTTTAAAAACAACTCAATTTTCAAATTCTTTCCAGAGAAATAGTTCAAATCTTAAAGAAAAAAAAGAATCAAAACTATCAATTTTAAAACTGTTTGGACACATGTGAAAAGATATATCTAGAAGTGGATTATATTCCACCAATAACAAGAATTTTCTGAAAGTGAACTTTGAAATAATCAATTATAAATACACATTACTTGACACTTTTGCCCTAACATTATCAAGGCGTGGAAGAAACTCAACAAAACAGTAGTTTCCCCAAATTGTGTATGGCATTCAAATGGAGGTTATCAGCACATAATAACAAAATTTGTGTCAATTCTAAATAATTATTAAATTGCATCTGGAGTTATTTGACTTCTTTAACTTTATCCAAATTTAAACTGTTATTTAAAACCAATTTGTTTGTTTTCAAAGTGTGGCATTTGTGTCCAGACAGAAAAAATTAATCAAGTATTCAATTAAAAACTCAAATTATGAGGTAAAAAGTCAAATTTCAAAAAAAGCTAAATTATTTGTACAACTCAGATTTTAATTAATTTACTTATAACTTGTCATTTTATTTCTTTTCAATAAAACAAAAATAATTGTTCCCTGATTTAAATACTGATTAACAAACTTTTATTAATATCTATAACAAATCTTGCAAAATATCAAAATTTTTTCAGAGCATTTTTGGCTGTGATCATTAAGACTTTATGACAAAAAAACTGTTCTAGTATGAAATATTAATTTTTGTATCAAACCAATGAAATCAATACTATCATTTAGTTCTATAAACCATGTTTGTCTCATTGAAATTCTATTTATTCATTTTAATAAATAAATTTGAATATATATATATATATATAATTTATATATATATATATATATATATATATATATATATTGTTTCAATTTGATTATAAAAACAATAATGTGGATCATAAAATTTCAAAATTTCCAATGTTAAACATTCTTACACAGACATGCACAACAATTTCTAAGAAAGACAGACAAATGGAAATTTAGGTTTGAAATTTTATAAACTATAAATCATGTTAATCTTCAGTAAATGCTTTACATTTAACATAGGTACCTCCATGAGATCGCTAAAAAAAAAGAGCATAGCATGATGAAAAAGACGCCAAACTTCATGAAAACAAAATTTTAACATCTAAATGTTTATGTTATTATTAAGAGGAAAGATCAAAGTATTTTTTTGGGGTATTTTTTTTACATTTTTAATCGTTCCTAGCACGTCTGAAATTTTCATTAAAATCTTGTTTTTTTTTTTTCAGCAAAATTGACAGATAATCAATCAAAATTGACCATTTTTTCCATTTTATAAAAAAATGAAAATCTCAGTTTGAAATTCTTTTAAATATCAATTATCATTTTTTTTTCAAACTTATTTTAAGAAAATCAGAAATTATAATGTTTATTTAAAATATTTTGAAACCAAGCATTATTTAGTTTCTGCATTGAAAAAAGATGTAATTTGAAAATTAAACAAAGCAGGTCATAAACATTTCATGTCACTTGACAGGTGATGAATGACATATTGATGGATTCCATGTGAAGGTAATTTGTTCTACAGAAGGAGAAAAAATGAAATAATTTAGATTTAAGTGAACAAATTATTTACCTCGTTATTTTTAAGGAAAACTTTCAGTGCTCTAATTTTTTTTTTTTTTTGTACTTAGCTTTTACCTTTACGTTTATGATGCTTTATGGAAAATATATTATAAAGAAATTAAAATAAGACTGTTAAGAGTGAGATTAAATTTCATATTTCATAAGAAAGGTATCTAATTAATTTATAGGTACCTTTCTTATGAAATTTTATCAAAGTGTACATAAAATACTATAATTTTATGTACATTTTTTACATTTTACTGTGTTATTTGTATTTTCCATTCATTTTATTATTAATTTTGATATTTCATTTATGGAAAAATGTCACAACTGAGATTAATATAAAAATAAGATCATATAAATTTCATAAGATGATACTGATACTTGTAGGTATCCTTCTCAAAAATTGAAAAATCAAATTAACTTCTCCACACATGTTTCACAAAAGTAAAGGCCTTAACAGCAGAGAACAATGCTTAACTCAAATAACGCAACTTAATTGTATTCTGGTTGGTCTTCCATACTTTATAATTACAACCTGATTATAAACACAAAATTACATTTCTTAATTACTGCAGGTCTTCTGATTAGTCAAAACAATACAATTTACAATGTGGTAAAAAAAGATCTATCTCATAAGGACATTTATGAAAGTGGATGTGGCTTTTAACTAATTTTATAATATTTTAACAACTTAAATGTAAAAATCTATTATAATTAAAGAAATAACAAATAATTGTATTAAAAATTCATTTTTCATTGAAAAAATTTTTTGCTTTCAGAAAATATTGTCCATATTCATAAAAACAACTAAAAGCAAATAAAAGCATTTGAAATTAAATAATATCTTTGTTTTATTGAGTTTTGTATGTTACAATTTGGAGCTGATTTTCAAGTAGGTGGGGTCCAATTAAAAACAAAAAAAACATGATTTGCATTCCTCAAAGCCTAATGCTTTTAACTACTGTAATCACTAAACCCGATGCTATTGAATTCCTAGCGTTTTCATAAAATTAGTTATGGGGGGGTAATAAATATAAGAAAAAAATATTTCTGTCATGACTTTAATAAAAAAAACATATTTATAATAATTTCAATCATTTGTGAATAGTTCCTGAAAGTTTCATTAACATCCGACAATTATTTTTATTTTTGCAAGATTTTCCAAATTAATGTGTCATACCAAAAAAATGTGCTAAAAATTGTCTGTTATTTTACTAGTTCCGGTGATACAAAGAGAAACAAGGTTTTTTTAATCAAAATTTACAATGTTCTAAAAAGAAGGAAAAATTAAAAAAAATAAATTGGTCTTTCCTCTTAATAATAACATAAGCATTTAGACGATAAAATTTTGTTTTCGGCAAGGTTGGCATCTTTTTCATCAAGCTATGCTCTTTTTTTTTTAGCGATTTCATTGTGATACCTAATATAACAGTAATTGTCAGTTTCTGTTGTCATATAAATTCATATTTCAAATGGAATATCTACCATTCAAGAATGCTTGTCTGTTTACAGAAACTAATTCTAACTTTGGCTTTCTAAGAACTATAAAAAAATAAATGCAATGATTTTCCACTTGGATTGAAAATTAATAACAAAACTTATTTTTTAAAATGTGATTTTTAAAGCTGAATAAACAAATTATTTATCTCCATTAAGCAAGAACTGCTAAGTTGGGCATGATATAAGGCAGTGGAGGAAAAGAGAAAGTCAATTACCAAAAAAAAAAAAGGGGCATGTGTGTTATGTATGATATGCCAAAGGCAAAATAAGCAAAATAGAAACAAGTCAGTCACAGGTGTTGCCATAAATGCATCTGGGATATGCTAATATTGTATGTCCTCTCCCACCTGTCAACCAATGAAAAAAATTGTTTTGTGGATAAAAGCAGTTGGTATTCTTGAATTAAGGGAAGTTGTTTTTATTTGTTCTGCTTCGTCCATTGGCTTGCATGTTGATTTGAGACAGTTTACGTATATTGGGATTTGTGACATTGGACCTTCAATTTGTGATTTCGACATTTCTTTCTGCTTCATATTTGGACTTTTGATTTGTTTATTTTGTTATGGAATTGGGCTGCCATATCACTTGTTTTAACATGTTTACAAGAAAAGAAGCAGAGTTTAAGGCTTTTTTGCAACTTTACATTTATTTAATGTCACAGTTTGACATAAAATTTGCACAGAAAACTGGATTTATATAATTGAATTTCAGGGATTTGAGCAGAGAGATGCAAACTTTGAACTTTGAACATTAATTCCTTTCTTTAATGTCTTTCAATTTTAATTTCTTTTGTTGTTTTGGCAGAAAATATCAAATTACAGCAAGATTCTTTGAGAAGATATCAATCTCTGGAAGAAACCCAAAAGCTGTACGACTCTGAAGAATATGAAAAAGTGGTGGATTTGTTGCTGTTAACATTTACGATTCCTACGGCTAAAGGCAAAATGAATGTCCCAAGAACTACTTCAGCTGGGGTAAGTGTTTTTAAGTTGTTGTACTATTTATTATTTGTGATTATTTTTTAGACTGTTGTCCACCCAATACAAAGTCCAAGAGTCACTCAAGGTAGAGCGGTACTGAATACTTCATCTAATAAAAAATGAAGATGAAAGTAAATATTAATCAAAATTAATAATATTTGGGCAAAGTTTAACAAATGTACCTACAAAAAAAACTGTATTAAGATCATAGTTTTTTCCTCTTGACACTGCTACAATGCATTAAAGAAATAGCTAGGGAAACAATTTAGTTTTATTTAAATAACTTTATAATAATGCCTGTGAATTTTATATTTACAACATTCTAAAGATATATGAACCAACAACAATGCAATAAAGAAATAGCTAGGGAGACAATTTTGTTTTTATTTAAATAACTTTATAATAATGCCTGTGATGCCATAAAATTTAAATAAGCACATAGTGACGAGTAACTAATTATTTCCAGGACATCATACATTTTCTTCTCAGATTATTTTTGGTTTTAATTTTCCAAAGCGGGTGTCATCTAGCTAGGTCCACTGTAAAATAGCCAATTATTTTTATTTAAATTTTCTTGTTTTGTAGTTTTTATAAATTTATGAATAAAAAATTTGTTTTCATAGTTATTTCTTTATAATATGATAACTCTGCTGGAGAGAACATTTTTTTAAGTTAGTCCTGGGTATGATAAACTACATGTGGCAGCAAGGCCTCTGTTCAGGAGTTTGAAGGTTTTGAGAAGCATGAAACCACCTCTTAATTGCTATTGTTCCCAGGTCTACCCTGATCCGGGGTGGTAGCACCTGTTAGGGGTCCAAGCTATGGGCAAATAGTGAACTCTTAAAGAAAAAAACAAAACACTACGAAAGTATAAAAATACATTTTTATATAAAAATAAATTATCAGCAATACCTATTTATAGTAAAATTATCAACAATACATCAGTCAACATCAAGACCTCTTTCATGGCATTAATCTATATAATATCCTACAATTTCTTACAGAAATCAAACTATTCCAAAATATAACTTCAACAAAACTATAGCATAAAACATGCATAACACCACCTCTGGTAATCATGCCCACAAAAATATGTATATTCACAAAAGTTGAGTATCATCTACCATGTACTCAATTGTGAAAGCAGAATAACATGTATCGTATTTTTATTACTTCAAAGTTCCCAAGAAAATGAAATTTCGGCATTAAATGACCCATAAAGAGTTGGTATGCTGTTAAACACACAAATCAAATCAAATCTTTAAGTTTCTCAAATGTGTAGGCCAGTAGATATAATTCACACTTTAAAAATAAATAAATAAAAAAACAAGTCATCTACTGAAATGTGTGTCTGCAAAAATAATTTTTAAAGAAATAAGAAATAGTGTTGAATTAAAAATGACTCATTAATTCCTTAGAATATGGTAATTAATAAATATTGCATTGTAGTAGGTTCACATATCCTATTATAATTGTACTTGTTCCTCTCTTTGTTAGTTCACATGATCATTATGTCCTGCTATTATCTCATAAATAATGGACTATTCTGTTTTGATCACATAGAAAGAGGGGAGAAAAACTAGTGTTTAATGTCTGTTTCAGTGAAATTAAAAATTCAATTTCAAATCATTTCATTTATACCCACTTCTTAAAATAACAACCTGTATTCATATTTATGATTGTTATTGCAATATTTTGTTAGAGTTGTTATGCACAAATATTTAACGATGCAATATGGAAATTTCTATGGATGATTTTATTGTCGTAGAACTTGCCATGAGCTTACTCAGTCTTTAACTTGAGAATTAAGATTCATCAGAAAATTAAAATAGGAAAACCGTGAAATTTCCGCAGGTTAAAAGTAGTTATTATAATCTTCTAAATATAAAATATTTAGGTTTTATTAAAATTGTAAACATAGTTTTTTAAACCAATTAAAATTGCCAAGGAAATATATAGTGATAGTGGTGTCAAGAGAAAAACTGCTCTTTTGATTCATTGCTTTTTGCAAGAATGTCTATTAAACTTTGCCAATGTTTGATAGTGCTTCATCTAATAAAAAATAAAGATGAAAGGCAATATTCATCAAAAATGGATAATAATAAACATAAAGCAATCCTGAAAATCATTTTAAACTAATTTGTGAGTGACTAGTCACTTGACTTGTAATATTTGAATGGAATATTTGTTTAAAGTCTATTTTCATTTGTTACCTTATTATGAAATTCTTGTTTTCATTATCTTTTGTATGATGCATCTTTCAGTTGTTGGAAATGGGTGTGGCCATTCCTGAGAGACACTCACAGTTGCTATTGCTCATGGATTCATTGTTGAAACTAAAAGATTACAAGGTAAAAATATGAAAAGAAGAGTACTGAAAAGTTTTTGCCCACATCAAGAAGTTTTTTCCAAAAATAATGTTGATGTTTTGGTCATATTTTGGGAAATGGATTAGGCTGAGAAATTTTCAGCCCTTCCTTTTACCTGATGTTATATACCACATATGATTACAAGAGTAATGAACAAAAACAATAAATATTGCCAGTGAGGCATAAAGAAAAGGAGACAAGATATATTAAAAATTTATCTGTATTGTCAGTATAATGGATCAAGGTAGAATATTTCTTTTGTGGGCAAGGGAGGCAGTTTGGAGAATTGGGGGCATTGGTTATGTACTGGCCTGGCTTTGAAACTTGTGTCAAGTTAGTTAACAAGAGAGGCCACTGGTGAACTTTGTGAACTACCAGTCTAATGCTTTGAGTGTTACTGAGTGGTCCCTTTTAAGCAGTCAGGGTGGATACATGACAGCATTTTTCTTGTCATGCTTTTGCTTTAATGGCAACGTTTTTGATTGGCCCTGACATTTATATTTTATTTTATAATTTGGGGATTTGTTTTATGAGCCAGTACAATTCTTGGAACCCCTACACAGAGCACAACATTTTTATTTTTAAATTTGCTTTCATAGTGTTAACATCTAACAAGTTTTGATGTAGGGTGAATTAGAAAGAGATCTAATTTGAAGCAGAGTATAGCACAGAAACCATTTCACTTCACATTTGTGTGTGTTTGACATACTAGTTTACTCTTATCATCAAAATAAAGATGACATATTTAAATAAATTTGCCATTGCATTGGTCACATTTGGTGCATGAGTAATTGCACTTTCTTACCTATACAATTAGTGCAAAGAATTTGGCTTTTTAAATCATTAAAAGTAAAAATATCCAAAGAAGGCTAACACCAAACAAAAATCGGTGTATTAGCAACCTGATCTCCCCTACTTACTAATAAGATATTCTGCTCTTTGTTTATTGATGTTGAGTAATGCATCCTGGTATAATAATGTAATATCTCATTAGTCAGAAGGAAAGTTCAAGTTGTGTGACCATTAAATATATAATGTCACATTGTTGTGTGTGTGTGTGTGTGTGTGTGTGTGTGTGTACATATATGTAGGTGTGTGTGTATATGTATGTGCATGATGTGTATATATGTGTGTGTATATATGCATATGTGTGTATGTATATATTTGTATGTGTATATATATATTAATAGATTTATTTTTAGTCTGATATTTTTATTCAAACGTTTAATGAATACGCATGTTAGAAATAGAAGTCTCATACTTTTTTATTTTCGTTTTAAACAAGTGTGTATTCTATTTATTGGCCTGCTCATTTGAGAAAACTTAATAAAGAAAATGTGCTCTGCGGCAGGGTTAGAACTAGCATCTCCCCCCCACCCCAGTATAGGAGAAATGACCATTTGATCCAGCATGCTTCACCATAGAAAGTGTGACAGCCCAGCAAGGTTCTATTTGTCCTTTTTAGGATAACCAGCAGTTCTTTCATGTGCTACTCTGTATCCTCTTGTAGTTGTTTGAGAAAGGTTTTTGCTGATTACCCTCTATTACTTTTGCTTGAGTTGCTTGCCATAGCAGTACGTCAGTGACAAGTTATTCTTTAAGGTGCCCTACAAATCTTAATTTATGTTTCCATATGGTTTCATAGATAGGAATGATTTTGCCATAGAGCTCCTTGCTTGATAGGTGTCAACACCATGAGATGCTAATGGCAGTCATGAACATTCTAGTATAATCACTAAAAATAGTAGTTGAAATATAATAACCGTTTCTTAGGGCATTAAATGCATGCCTTTTTTTTTTTTAATACTATTGTTCACCCCAAACAAAGCAAAAGAGCCACTCAAGGTAGAGGGTTGTTGAATGAGGTTGTTGTCACAGCATAAAAAGAGGAAGTAAGTACTGCATATTATGAAGATATTTAAGATAAATAACGATTGACCCTTTACTTGAAGGGTTTAAAATTGTACTGATTGAGAAAGCATCCTTTTGATTATCTGTTCCACAATGTGACAGTTCTGGGGTAGAAGCTATCTTAGTGGAACCTCCTCCTTACCAATGGAATATAATGTTATTAATAGACATTTTAATTGTAATCTCCACTTATTTTTACTCATTCCCTTTTGTGACTTCTGTTTCAATAACCAAATTCTTTTTTTGCAGAGATACGTTGTGTGGGGAGAGGTATCCTTCAATGAGTGCCTCCTTAATTACAGAAAAAGTATCAGCCATACAGTCAAGGATGAATGGGTAGCTGCTATGATTCAGCTTTTTGATGGGTTAGATAAGTAAGTAAAATTGAAGAAATCTTTTTGCATTTTGCCATTTGGACATTTACCAGTTTTCTACCCAAATCATCAACAATAATTAAAAAATAGTTTTATATTTGTCGATTATTTTAATTTTTTTGATTTTAATTATATTAATTACTTTCTATTATTTATGATTTAAATATATTTTATTATAATAATAGCAATTAGTATATTTGATAACAATCCATTTGCTTCAATGTGTAAAAAAAAAAATGTTTGGTGTGTTGGGGAGGGATAGCACCTCTGACAGAAGAACAGTTGTACACTTTTGGGAATAGTTTATTGACGCTGGTTGCCACCTGATGTCCAGCTCTCATCTGTGGCTCCAAATAGCTGTTTGCATGCAACAATGGTCACACAGTGGTAAACCGCTTTGACTGGTGGGCAAATCAGGTGAGGTTATTCAACAGGTTCAAATTCTCAATAATTTGGGATGTGTCAGACCTTTTGCATGTAAAGACTGATTCCTGGCAGAGTGGTTGGATGAAATCTACAGATCAAACAGCCATGCAAACAATGTCAGCAAGTGCCATAGAATGCGTCAGGACATGGACATGACATGCAGAAGTCCATGTCATCTACTGCAACCTGGAAGACTCTGCAGTTGCAACGATTCATTGTGCCATCAGATAAAGATACCCTCAGGCTTAGAGAGTGGAATTACCCCAGTGCATAGATTTTTCCCACTGTACATTCTTTTCACACAGGTCTGTTTTGAAAATTAATTTGGATTCACTGATGAATTGCCAGACAAATTCTTTTTTAGAGCTGAAAGACAACCATGACCAAAATTATCAATATATTTTAATATAACCCACCCCTTATTTTACAGAACATTAAGTTTTAATGTTGCAAGAAAGTACAGAAATTTCAATTTGAATCCTTAAGTGTTTCAGTTTTTATTTTTATTATTTAATAACTGGCTTTTTGTGTAATCCCCTGATGACATGGGTAGGATTATTAAGTTTCATTTTTATTTTATTTTTTATCATTATCATCAGACAAAGCAATAAAGCCACTAGCGCACAAGGGGTTACTAAGTATAAAAGAATATGAGAAAAAAAAACATTATTAAGAAGAGGGGGGACAATAAAAGAACAGGTATTAAGAAGACAGTAGATATTGATTGACATTGCATTTAAATTTTTAAAGATCAAAGTTGACTGGAAAGCAAGAAACCATAAAAGAGTCCCACAAGTGAGATGTCAAACCTTTTATTCTAATGATTATGCTTACAAGTTACTACCTAAAAGTTTACAGAATTTAACCATGAAAAAAAATTATTCTTACATCTAGTTTCCATCATTTCCTTTGAAGGAGTTTGCTACTTGCACACTGGTTCCAAAAGGGTTGAAGGAAAAAAAAAACAAATGCCTACAACATTCTTTTGTGCATGCTATTCAAATTTCCCAAACTTCTACATAGCATTTTGTATAATGACATAGCCAACCCAAAGAACATATATAGGATATATATGCCAAAGTTTTTATAATCAATTCTATAAGTGAACAGATATTGCAAATTTAATATTTATTGAAATGACAAGATTACTTACGTATAAATTGGCACTTCTGCTTTAGATCCGAATATCTGTGTGCTTTGTGTAAGCTCAAAGTGCTTTGTATCTGCCAGGTCAGGATCAAGGACATTGCAGATTCTTCCTTGGATTTTATAAAGAATCTCTGAATATATCACAGAAGAACTAGACGTGGCAGCAATATTCAAGGCATAAATAAAGGATAAACTTATGAATATGTAAAGTAGATTCTATCAAAAAAATTGTCTAGCATGACACAGTGAACCTACTTTTGTAGCAGCAGACCTAGCAGTTGATTTAATCTTTTCACTTCATATCAGCAGAAAATGTTAGTCTGAGAAGGCTATATATATATATATATATATATATATATATATATATATATATATATATATATATATATAAGCTAAATCTGACAGTAGGTCACATGCAGCATGAGGCACCCAGTGGGCATCAAATTCATTTCTGTAATAATGATCTGGTAGGTTAGTTTGATAATCATTACATCACAGCAAGGTATCCAAGTACATTTAGCCCATATCTTTCTGTCATCAGTTTAAATTGACACCTTTCTTGTAACTGTTTTGATTTCAAATGAAATTTTCACTTTTCAAATTTACAATTTAAAGTTTACAGCTCAGAGATAGTGGTTGCTGGGGGGGGGGTGTCAGTTCAAACTGACGCCAAGAGGATATGGGTTAAAATTGAAATAATATTTTGGGGAAATGATATTCAACTTAGTGTTTCAGTAATTAAAAAAAAGGACCGTTTCCATTTCCAGAGCCATCCTGACTGATCCAACAAGTATTAAAGAGCTGACTTCTGCCTGTACACTGCGTTTGGCTAAGAATTTGATCAAAGTTATTGTTGATTCTCTCGATGTTCCTGAATATGCTACCGAAATGCCTATTTCCAGTGTTCTACCCTGGAAATTACTCTACCACATTATTAAAAAGTAAGTATCAGTTTTTATTTTAAGATTGTTTCCTTCACAATCTGACATTTTCAACACAGCAAGGGGTTGGCAGTCAAAGCCTGCACATACTAAATAGTCAGAGGAGGTAAGCTTGATTGGGGAACCCGGGCAGTGCTTTGTGACTTCTCTCTATCTTACCAACATTTGCTTTTTTCTACCTACATTTATATACGTTACAAATTAAACTAAGCACAACTGACTATTAAAGGATGAAAATTTTTTGCACATTTTGATGTCATTCTGGGGTTTTATTTTGTTTTGTCCAAATCTGTGAATTTGTTTTGCCCATGCTAAGTTTTGAAAAAACACAATATAAAATTCACTATTTTTTTTTATTCATAATGAATGTGTTATTCAACTTTTTGATAAGAAAAATCTCAAGTTGATGTTAAAAATTGGTGCAAAACATTGTTGATTTATTTAACATGGAATGATCTATTATGACATCTCTCTAATTTGTATTTAGATACATTGTATTTATTTTCAATTTTTATAGTTGAATTGTTTATCTAAATTGCATATGATCCATTATTGTACATAATTACATGACAATAAAATTTGTATTTTATATGAATATTAGCTTATGAAAATTGAGATGTAGTAGAGTGTGTGGGGGGGGGCCTATCATAGATTCAGAATTGGAGCATGAGACCCTTGCACTGGCTCTGTTGGCAGTCATGTTTTGTTTTACTCCAATAGAAAAGTAGATTTGTTTATTTGTCTTTGTGAAGCTTTCAAAGATGATAGTTGACTGCTTCAGTCTTGAAATCGATGTTTAAAATCTACCTGATTGATTAAAAAATACAAAATGTATCTTTTTTTTCCCTATATATTGAATAACTAATCATCGAGCTTTTGTTGGTAATTATTTTGAAATTGTAGGAATAAAGAACGTGAATTTAGACTTTTATTATCTGTTGCAACATGATTCATTCCAAACATTACTGTGGTAATAAAATAAGCACATCCCATCTCCCCTCTCACTTATAACCATCCATCACAATAAAATAAACATATTTCAGTGCTAAAAGCTAAGGAAGCCCTCTCAGTGAACATATCAAATTTAACAATCCCCTTTACATACTTGAAAGCCACAATTAACTCTTACATCCTCAACCAATCTCAAAAATCATGGAATACACACACAAACACCAAACTATATCAAATAAAACCCATTCTGACTGTACAACATCACAGTACCAAAAAATATTGTTGACAGAATTTATCTTTGATCTGAAAGTGTGATGATCACCCAAGCAATGACTTTTGAACAATATTTTCTTCTTATCATTAAAGATGTAGCAAAGGTGATGAAACTTTGATTTCTCTCTAAATTAAATGTTTAAAATTAGTTTATCTTTTCAACATTTACACTATTTTTGTTGTTTTGATATGTGGCATAATAAACTGGGAATTCCTTTCAGCTGAAGGATTCCTATGTTTCATTAGCAAAAGTTCTGTGAACAGAAGAATAACTTTGATTTGAAACTCAAACTAAATATGTAATGTTGACATGGTATAAATAATTACTACTTTTACCCTTAAAGATATGTGGGAGTGCTGAAAAGTACTTAGATTAATCCAGAAGGGATTAAAAAAATTTTTTCTGACATTTGGGAAGTGGGCCTAATTGAGAATTCTTTTGTACCTCTGCCTTAGATACACATTAATCTTGAGTGCTAGGTTGGTGAAGTATGTTGCAAGAAATGTAAGCACATGTCTGTTTGTAGTTAGGATAATGAAATACACAGTTTTTTCCCCCTCTCTGTCTCTCACTTATATACAGCTTTTCACCATTATATTATTTTGAATATTTCAGTGAAGAACGGAAATTAGAAATGATACAAGTTCTTGATGAATCCAACAAAGAAATCCTGGAGAATTCCATGAGTTCATCTCTAATGTTGCTGAATGTAGCTCATGACTATCTTGGCAGGTGAGTGCTTAGCATATATATATATATATATATATATATATATATATTTAGGCAGCATATCTTCATTCAAACATGTTTGTTTGAAAAATCTAGACATATTATGATTATTTTTATTTTAAGCCTATCAAATTCATGGATCAATTTCTTAATGTTGTTATTAAACTGATTCAGGAAAACACCATAGTTTTTCTCATTCTTTTTATTTTCCCAGCTACTTTCACTTTCATTCAAGATCATCTTCAGGAGTGAATTGCTAAGACAAAAAATTAATGTAATTGATAGTTGTGAAATTTTTTGTAAATATGCATGAAACATGCTCCATTATAGTCAATTTGAAAATTAACATTAAGAATATGTAAGGAAGGTAACTTTATTTATATTTTTTATTATTAATGTTTTAAAATATTTAACCTGCAATTTAAAAAAGGAAAAAAATTTTTTACAATTATCCCAAAAGCACTTCCAAAATTTGAAGTTTTTGATTTTTATTCTCATGGTGGAGTATACTTGTATTGTCAATTGATATTTTTCTAAAACATGAATGTGGATAGGAATGTTCTTTTAAATGTGCAATAGAACTTGAATCCAATATGTGTAATGTAAGCCTTCTTGATAATGTTGTCATGAAACCAAAATAAAAAAGTAAACCTAACATATTATGGAAACTGCTTTTGACTTGTACTACTGAGGTTCCCTTCTATGACCATCAAAATAATATATATGTACAATGTGATGGAGTTTCCATGAGTTCACTAGGTTCAGTAATGCTCTAAACATTTTTTTGGCTGGTCTAAGATGGATTCAGATGACTACTACTACATACAAAAGTCAATGGTTAAAAGATTTAATAAAGGAGCAAAAAAAATTCATTTCTTTAAATAATATGTGGAAATAACCATTATTCGCTTGATGAAGGTCACAAGTCCCAAAACTTGTGTAGCAAAATATATAGAATAAAGTATATAAAAAAAAATCCACATTATGATCAAAAACATTTGCAGCTTTTTCTCTCTTTAAAATATACACTTTTCTCTTGTTAGAACAACCATAAACCCTTCCCTTAAGGGAATAATTGGTGTTCACATGCATTTTAACTTCAAAACAAGAAAGAACGAAAAATATATGGCAGATGAATGAGACTTAGAATTTGTCTATTCTTATTGGTTAGGAAGAAATCCCAGCATGCATCTGTAGGATTTGACTATAAATTTTTGAATGAGATGTTCTTAGTAGTCATTGGAACCAACACATGTAAATAACTGAAAAAAAAGTTACAACTTAGTAAGCATTGTTTTATTTTGTTTGATTTGTTTATTTCAGACATGCCTGGTGTACCAAATCAGATGGTCAACTGTTGCTGTTTTTCATGAGTGTACTAAAGACTGAACGTGCTCGCTATCCTGAAGATAAGCCACATGCATTTAAGGATGAACTTGACCAAGCATTTGAACAGTGTGTTTTCTGTCTGTATGGCTACCCTACCAAGAAAGCCAAGACAAGATATCTCCAGGATCACAATGCTCTCCAGGTAAGAAGAATGGCATGATTTTAACTTAAATGGGAAATCAATTTATTTAACAAACTTAGCACTGGATGATGATAGAATTGCAAGAGTACTGCCCCTTACCCTCTTGTGGATGTGCAGGTGATGTAATGGATATCAACTCTGAGAAATTGGAGAGCAGAGTTTGAATTCCAGTCAGATTTATTACATTCAATTTTACACAAATACCTTTGGGAAAGGTATGAAGCCATCTCTTCTCACCCAGCTATGGATTAAATAGTTAGATTTGTATGTGGAAAAATCATTGTTATTGTCAAAAAAATTTTAATACAATATTCATTCATAAAAAAAAAGAATTATTCTTCCAATCCAAAATATGTTTTGGCTTTAAATAACCCACAAAGGGTTGATAAGCCATAAAAAAAAACAAATCAGTCAGTCAGTCATTATCTATCTATCTATCTATCTATCTATGTCAGTTTTTCATAAGTAACTATCTCTGTGTTAGACTTTTCATATCTATCTTCTTTGTCTTACATAGTTTCAGGTTATATTAAGGCAAGAACTAATATGGATTAGTTCATATTTTCCCTCATCAGCAACTAGTTTGTCTGGGACATTGATAAAAGTACATGACTCAAATTTTGTATTTTTTTAATCAATTCACCCCAAGCAAAGTGATAATGCCACTAAGACACAATGGGGCTACTGAGAGAGAAAGAGAATGAGAAGATTAGAAGGAAGTGTAAACCCAATCCTAAACAGGGAACAAGTGATAAACCTATACTTCTGATCAAAAGATCAGGAAAGATTGGAACTGGATGATAGGTGAACCTATATACTCTTATTGAGGAAACAAAGGAAAATAAATAGTGAATAAAATTTCAAAGTTTAGGTAGAGACATTAGAAATTGAAGTTGACTTTAGAAGGAACCAGAAACCCAATCCCAAACAGGAAACAAGGGATAAACCTCTACTCATCTACAAAAGAGTATATTAGTAGTCTTCCTTATATGTTGGGCTTACAGCTACATTGTGTTGAAATACTCGTTCCCGCATGATCACTAGTTAAGCAGTGTCAGCACCTGGATGGGTGACCACTTAGGAATACCAAGTGCTGTTTGTTTGGATTTGCGGGTGGTGTAATGGATAGTGGCTTGGAATTGGAAATTGGAGAGCCAAATTCCAGTTCCAGTTGGGTTCATTATAATCATTTATGTGCAAATACCCTTCTCCCTCATCTATGGGTTAATTAGTAAAACTTGTATTAGTAAAACCATTATTATTTTGCAAAAATAAAATTGTATACAAATGTTTAAATTTCGGCATTAAATAACTTATAGAGGTTGATATGCTGTTAAACAAAAACAATCAAACACCCTTACATGTTAGTTGCATTCATTTCTATACACTATGTTTAGAAACAAATGACTAATTTTCAAACAAGAGCAGATTATCTTTATTGCATTTATAAAAAACACCTGGTACACAAGTATTATGAATAACTGTATGAATTGAAAATGATAAAAATCCTCAGGTAGAAATGAGAACTGAATAATCAATCTTGTGGAATTTATTTAAATCTCTATAAGATTAGGAATATAGCATACAAGACTCCAGATTAACTTTTTATCACTATCATCATGGAACCATCCCAAAGTAGAACTTTAATTATCCTGAAAAAATTTTAAACTGTCCTAAAATTAAAATATTGTTTTTTTAATTTTATCATTTATAGTTGTTAGTCGCAACATAAAAACATCATTAAAATGTTTAGAAAATAAATTTGTTAAGGAAAAAACTTAAAGTTTTAAAAATGAATGAATCCAAGAAGAAATTAAGATCAAATTTTACTGTAATTTTTATGACATCATTTATTTTTATTTAAACATTTAATTTAAATCATCTTGAATAATTTTACAATAATTAATTTTCACATCCAGAGTAACTTTTATTAGAATTTAAGAATTCTTCTCTATGCATTCATTTTCTATTTAAACAATATTAACGCATTCCAAATATTCGCAATCAAAAAAGTTTTAAAGTCTTTATCAAAAATTTGTATTACAATTACCTGCCTTGCATAGTGACTAAATTTGGTTATCATTTTTTAAAAATTTTCCCTTGTATTTTCAATTTAGTTTATGATAAGCAGAAACATAGCACAAATGTTGTTTAGGGGTTCATTCAAGTTTTTCAAGGAAAAATTGACAGAAAAAAATACAATTTTCTTGCTTTGTTTATTGAAGCAAAATTATTTTATGTAATTAGGTTCCAATTTTTTTTACATTTAGATATTAAAAGTGACATATTTTATTGAAGTGAGAAGAAAATGAAAAAAAGAAGAAAGGAATTGTATAGTTGTCATGAATGGCATATCAAAAGAGAGAGAGAGAGAGTGAAAAAATGGCTGACTAATTTTTGTTCCTCTTTCTTCAAAGTTCAGTCAAAGAAATAAAACATGTGCAACATGACTAAAAGAGGGAAAACATTTCTCAATGAGGATAAGTTATACACATATACAAATATATGCATATACAACAGAAGCAGATCGCATTAAGATCTATCAGCCATTACTTCTGTTTACAAAAAGAAAGCTGTAAAGATTTAATGAATATGATCACTAAAACAGGTCAGCTTTTTTTTCTTTTTCAATTTGATGTTCAAGGTAACTACTTTTCTTTTTTCTTTCGTTTTCTCACTTCAATAAACTATGTGTTTTGATGGTCATAATAAAATTTTGTACACTTATAAAAAAATTTTAAGATCTTACTCTTTATTTTGAATTTGTGTTGTTTTCTAACATCTATAGAATGATGGTCATGGTAGTTGCAACAAAAAGCAATTGTATAGTTTCCATGAATGTCAAATCAAAAGAGAGAGTGAATGTGTCAATAAATATCTGACTAATTTGTCTCGATAGTTGTTTTATTCAACATATTTTTTAACTTGATTTGTCATCTCTGTTTTTGTTTTATTCCAGATTGACTTAGATTGGGAATCTTCACAGTGCCTGTTTGAATATTTCAAACCAAAGACTGTACCAGAATTTGATAGCTACAAGACGAGCACTGTGTCAGGAGATGTATGTCAACTTTTCTATTTCTTCTCTCATTTAAAACATTTTTTATTACATTCTGGAAATAATATTGCTAATAATCATCAAACCAATGGTTAGTTTAACTTGATTATGCAAAGAAATCAGCCATATGACAAAAGCTTGGATTTTATCATGAATTCAAAAGAATTTTTTCATATCACTAGAATCAGCATCTGTCTATATTTCTGAGATGAGATATTGTAACTATTTACACTATTTTCATTGTTCAGACTCTTGTCCTTATGTTTATTGTCATATTCACAATGTTTCAGCCATTGTATGCTCTGGCCTTCTTCAGATGATATATGTTGGAATTTTGAACAGAACCCTTTATTTCATCCACATGGTCCAGTGGATAAAAACGTTGGTTGAAATAATCCAGTGACTTGACCCAAAGAGTTGTGAGTTTAATACCTGGCCACAGCAGAGGTGAACAAAAACTTGGAGAGTTGAGTTACTAAAGGGAATTAACTGAAACTGAAATATCCAAAAAAAGCTTGGCATGTGGAACAAACAATCTACCTCAGTGGACGAAATAAAAAGTCTGGTTTGAAATTCCCAACTCATATCACTTAAAGAAGGCCAGAGCGTAGAACATCCGAAACATTGTGAATATGACAATAAAGATGAGGACAACAGTCCGAACAATGTAAGTAGTGTAAATAATCACTAGAATCCTGAGCTGAATATTTCAAAATATTGTTCTTGGTTGATACAGATATTAATTTAGACACATTTCAGCCAAGTTCCCTTTGGCCATCATCAGGTGTCTATTGTTTGGTTGATATAGTATATCTTGTTTTGTCCCTGTGATACCAATTATAGTTTGTTCCTGCTGAATCAATGTATAACCAGCTCCTATGTCCACTATGCCAATGTCCTAAAGGACATTAGTGGTGTATTTTTGGTGTCTTTATATTCATTGTCAGATGGTTTCAACATTTGGCTATCATGGCAGGTTTGTACTGCTTTTCATAATTTAGTATTTCATTTCTGAGATGAGTAACTGTGAAGATTGGCAATTACTTGGAAATGAAATACTAAATTATTGGTAAGCCAGTTTATTAGTTTGAAACATGAGTGAAATTGGGTAGCCAGAATTGTTTGTGAACTACTCATAGTTGTGCTAAATTGAAGTCACAAGTCATCATGACTGAGTGTTTCAGCATGCTAGTCTTATTCAAACTTGATTGTACCAGATTATGCACTCTCTCCGAGAAACTCTAAGGTGCACTCTGCATAGTTTTACTATAAACCGCATGTTGGCTTTCTGGATGTTAAAAAAATGCACATGTCGCTGTGTAGGTATCTACAGTCACACTAGCAGATGGGCATACTCAGAAATGAGTGGTCAGTCATTATACATCATGTGCTTCTGTAACTATACCTCCTCCATGCTTCTTCTCCTTATTCCTCCTTCTTAATCCCTTTCCTCTTCTTTCACCATCTCACCTTCTCCAACCAGGCAAGCTGACACTTATTTCTTGTTTGTTGAGAATGAAAGCTGTATTCATTAACAAATTGATAGGTTACTGTTGTTTCTGTACCCAACATGAAAATGAGTAAAAAATGGTAGGAAGTAAGAATATTCTGAAGTCTGTAAATTCTTTAAGTTGATCAAGCCTCTTGTGAAGGTGTTTCATCATGCTTTCATTTGTTATATTGTTGATTTTACATCAGTCATCTTCTTATAAGGACTAAAAAAGATAGATTGGAAAGAATCATCACCATTTTTCATTCAAGTGTAACAATAGTAATTACCAGAATATGAGGACAAATATTCTGTTATTTCTCCAACTAACTTCAATTTTACAAGTTTTTTTGCAATATAGAATATGTTCAGAGTCCTGAAAGGAGTTGCATCAGCAGGGCACAATAGAAACCCTTTCCAATAGGAAATTATATATCTGCTATGTCGACCTCACAGCAGTATATTACCAAATTGATAGAGACTTCCTCCTATTATCTATTAGAAACCACCTTCCAAGCTCTGGATCCACTTAATGCATCAATCTAATAGAGGATTGGTATGAGTCTACAAAATCTTACATGTTTGGCAAGCACCCTTTCAAGATTTCAAACCTCATCAGGAGTATGACAAGAAGGAGATGAGAGCACCAGCCTATGTAATCTTTACATAAACTATATCCTGTGCATTTACAGATGTTAAGAGATCATTTAAGCATTTCATGCCACATCCCAAATGAATCTACCAATAGAAGGAAACAATCCTCCTTTCCCTCCTGAGGTCAATGTACTGATGATGTGTGTTTGGCGGGTAGGGCTATGCTGATGGCATAGGTATTCATAGTTGGGATAAGAATGCTCAGAAAATCAACATCCTCTACCAAGTGTTCCAAGAAATAGGGCTCAAGATGAACCTTTCCAAAACAGAAACTATGATCTGAAATTAGAATGAAACCTGTGATGGCATATATCCTGAATCCATCAGAAAAATTAATCTTGGAATTAGTAAATGCTAAACATTTCAATTACCTTGGCATGAAATGGATATCACATGTAACGCTAAGAAAAAATAAGGACAAAATTAAGATGTTGACAATCTACACTACTTCAAATAAAAGGTTAGGAAGGAACCCCCATCAATAGTGAAAAGAGCAATAACAGCTACCGAACTTAAGAATCCTATTTTCCTGAAAAATTGTTTTAAGTGAAAGCTTTTATAAATTTCAGTTGACAACTGCACTGGCTGCTTGGTCAATGAATGTCAAAAGTTTCCTTCTAAGGAAATGGCTAATATTACCATTACCAGTAAATTCTTCAAACAGACATTGATTCTTTACTTGTAGAAGCTTAACTTGCATTGATATTTGAGGAATCAGTTTAACCATATCAATAGGGGAAATACACACATGGAAAACCAGGAAGTGATATCTTGTCTGTTGTCCTGAATATATGAACACAAGCAATCAGATGGTGATTTCGATCAACAAGTCCTTTCTTTTAAATAATCAACATTTTGTTCTAATTGAAATAGTTGTTTTATCAACGAATTTTAATAAAGTGTTTTAAAAACATTTGTTTTTCAATCACAATGACAACCCCCAGGGCAAGGCTTCATTATGTCAATAGAAGAACTCTTCATGGACAGTGAGAGTGATGAAGAAGAATTTCTTTGGGTTTACCCTCACAGATATTGGTGATGTGCATGACAGTGAGACTGAAAGTGATTCCGACTAAGAAGGAGGAATTTTTGAACCATCACAAGCATATGATCACCCATGGCTACCAGAGTTTTCTTATACTCCCAGACCTACAAATGTTAATCAAGAAGCTAGTGACGTAGACATTTCTCTTCTTTTTTTTTTTATCTGACAAAGTTATTCAGTTAATGGTAGTGGAAACTAACTGATATGCAAACGATGTGAAAACAAAATTAGGTGACACAGTAAAGTCCAACTCACAAATCATAGCTTGGAAAAATGTTTGCTTTGAAGAAATGAAAGCATTTTTGGCCTTGCTTTTGTTGATAGGTTTAATAAAGCAACCTTTGTATTCATTTTACTGAACAACAGACCCCCTTTTATATATGCTATGCTTTCATGATGTGATGAGTAGAAATTCTTTTTCATCAATTCTGTTGTATTCTTTTTTAGTTTTCATGTTTTTTTCTCAAAATTTATTATATGTATAGTAAAAAAAATGTGTCTAATTTTTCGACATCCTTCCATGCAAATACCCTGAAAATTTTATAACAATATCTCTAAAACCTAAAAATTACAGTACTAGTAATATACCCACCATTAAAAAATTTAGTACACCCAAAATTAATGTGGATCCAGGGGAAATAAGTCCAAAAGTTAGTGTAGAGTTGTAAAGGTTAATTAACATAGCTAAGGCATAGACTATATAAATGCCCAAGCAGTGAGGGCAGAACAAATTTCAGTATGCAAGATAAATGACTACTGCTTGACTGACTAAGGAAATTCCATTCCATAACACCTACCTTCTACCTGAGTGTTCCATAAATCCCATATAAGTGTCACATCATTTCAACTGTCAGCTATATACAACTGCTTTCTCAGATCAATAGTTAAAAATGGTTTTGAGTAAGTGAAGCCTATGGGTCTTTGCAAAGACCACCCTTTATTGAACATTATGAGAAATCAGAATCACAAACAAAGAACTGTACCAAATAACAGAAACCACATCACTTGAGGACTTTCAACAGCAGCAGCAATATAAATGAATGCAACTGGAAGAGAAAATAATGACATAATCAAGATGTTGACATTCCACATGACTTCAAATAAAAGGTTAGGAAGAAAACGCTCTTCAGTACTTTAAAGAGTGATAACAACTACTGGATTTGAGTAGCCTATTTTCTTGTTTTAATAGAAAGATTTTATAAATTTCAACCAACTGTATTACAAGCTGCTCAGTCAATGAATGCCAAGAATATTTCCTTATAAGGAAACAGCTATTATTACCATAACTATTACCATCAGTTTTGTATAGATTTTAGTTAAGATGATAATGGTTTTGATTCTGTCTCGTCACATTTGCATATGTGTTTCTGTAATCAACTCATGCATTGTACATTTCAGCTTGAGAATTTGGCTCGAAGAATTACTTTGTTAGTACCCAAAGAAAAGAATCCAGGTAAATTTCTTCTTTTCATCATTTATTTATTTGATATTCCTGATTCATTTTCCATGTGCATCATTTGAGAAAGTATTTTTCTTTTCAGTGAAAATGTCACGATACAATATGAATAGATTGGTTAGAAAACAAAAAATAAATATAAGTTTTCATTGTGAAAAGGCCAAGACAAGACTTGTACTAGAGAGGTAACAACCAATTAGAAAAGATGCTATAAATATCAAATTCCCCAAAACAACTGATTAGTAAAATGCATACATACACATCTTCTAAATTCTCTTATTCTCTATAAAAGTTATCATCTATCAAGTGTGACACAAAAAGACACTTGATATCTAAAATATTTTGTAATCACTTCAAACAGAAATAAAGGTCATTACTTAAACTTTATATATTTGTATAATTTTACTTTTTAACAAATAGAAACTAACATACATTTGCAATTACAAAAGTGTTTTACACTCTTTTTCAATTTTCCATATCGACTCTTTTGTTTAAAGAAATTTATGTGTTTTGAAACCTGTTTCTTAAAGTAGGTGACTATCAAGCATAAAAGACATTGCCACTCCCAGGTGACTAAAAAGTTGAGCTAGTTCAAAGGAAAATCAGTTGTTCTGCATATATTCTATAACATTATTAATTTAGATATAATAATGTTTAATACTTATCAAAGGTCAACTCAGAATTTTATAATTCTTCAATCACTCACCAAGACTCTTGATAAGAATGTTTGCATTGATCATTCTTGCCAAGAGTGATTTAAAAAAAATTACAAAACTCTGTGTTGACTTTCAATAAACATTGAATGTTATTATATCTAATTTAATCATATTTATCACTTTATTCTTATATTGAGCACATTGTCAGCAGAAATTCTGTTAAATTTGATATATGTCAAATTATATAATTTTATATATATTAAGAAAAGAAGATCTTCTATAAAAGCTGCTTCAGTTGCCAGTCATTTGATAAAATAATTGGTTATTAATTTGATGAAATAATCAATTATTAAACTAATGATAATTTTCTGTCTGAATTTCTGGGATGAGGAATTATTATTATTATTTATACTATTTACATTCAAGCTATTGTCATTATCTTTGTTGTTGTCATCACAATGTTTCGGCATCTGATAAAAGTGAGAGCACAACATCTGAAGTGTAATAAAAGCAACAAAAATGGAGACAATAGTCTGTATGTAAATAGTGTAAATAAACTAAAAATATTTGGAAAATTGAATTTTGTTCAGTTTGTTCATACAACTTAATACTTTGGAATTTCTTTTTCTTGTTGATTGATAAATAGATAATTCTAGTAATTGTAATTCTATTTACAGCTAATACATATGAATCAGTACTCGCTTACATTGAGGGCCATCATAACGAGCCACCTTCCATTCCTGTTGATAAACCAATTACAACGTAAGTATTAACCTTCTTCATTATTTTATTATACCTTTGCCTTGTACATATGGCTTTTTATTTGTCATTACTGACAGATAAAGAAACTTTTTAATTAATTATATATATGGTGCCATGGTGGGGTAATGGTTAACAACTCGGATTGAGGAATCTGAGAGCTGTGTTCAAATTCGAGTTCATTACATTCACTTATGTGCTAATACCCTTGGGAAAGATATGAATCCATCTCAGCTATGGGTAAAATAACAAGACAGATTGGATCTTATAGTCTTGGGTGGCAACCAATCTATGAGAAGGAAACTCTAAATTCAAACCACCTGCTGCCTCTTTAGGCAAAGGATAGAAGAAGGTAACTTCAAAAATAATTCCTCGTCTGAGAGGCGGGATAGGATAACCTCAACATTCTCAGTGCAAAATGGAACTGGTAAACCCCTGCATTATTCTGTCTTGAATGTCAGCATGGATCACAATTGTAATATGAAGGGGAGTGGTGACCACAGCTGTGCAAAAATGTGCTAATTGAATAAAATGAATGAATGATATATATATATATATATATATAAATCTGATGGAATAGTAAATATATAAGACAGTTTGGATAATATCAATGCAACATGTTTAGCTGATCAACCAGACATGGTAAAAAGTTACAGACAGAAATGTACATGTCAGATAGCTATATTTATTCCATGTTTAACTTCTGCCCTTTTCCATAATGTCAGTTTCATGATGTTTTTTTTTTTGTTCATTGTAGGCCCATTGTTAAGGAACTTTATTACTTATTGGCTGATTATTACTTCAAAAACAAGGAACAAACGTAAGTTTCTTTAGTCTTCCTTATTCTTCGGTTGATAAGCAAGTTGAGTTTTACTGTCACTGAAGCTTGTTCTTTCTGTTCTAATTATCTAGGATTGCTTGTTGAAAGGTCAATGGAAGATTACTGTTTGGACAACCAAATTTGGCTCTAATTTTAACAGGCAAAAAACAAATTGTTCTTTTGTTTGTTACCTTAAAATCCTTATAGCAAAATAAGCAATAAAGAAAAAAAAACATTTAGTTTCTAAGTCAAATATCGTTCATTTTACAAAATATTCTTTTTCATGTCGAAAAACTTGTACATGATGCAATGGATAAATTGTTGTCTAAATGACACAAAAATCAAAATAACACTGACATCTCGTTTTAACAGATAGATTTACCAAAATTACACAAAAATATCTTGAAATATTAAACAGTAACTTTATTCAATAAAATTGCCATTGGCTTCAACTACAGCCTCCAGATGACTTCGGAATCTCCTGTATCTCTTCTGGATGGTCTCCTTGTTTAAGTTGGTGAATGCTGCCATAATCCTTGCCTTCAGTTCATCTTTGGTGTTACAAGGAGTTTTGTTGGTCTCTCGCTCAACTGTGCCCCACACATAATAATCAAGGGGGATTGCAGTCTGGGGAGGTAGGTGGCCAGATGTAAGGGGTGATGTGGTCGCAGAAATTGACAACCATGACTATGCTCACTTGCATGTGTGGTATGGTGCAGAGTCCTGTTGCTAGATATAGGGTCTTCCAGCAGCCACCCTCTTGACCCCGGGTAGCACTACCTCCTCTAGGCACTTGATGTAGGCCTGTGTGTTGAGTCTGAGGCTCTGTGGGAAGTAGAATGGAAACATAACATAATTTTATAAATTTATTTACATCTGCCCGCCAGAGGGAGCATATTTTTCTAACAAGAGTTCTTGAGTATTCAGGCCAATAGGTGTAAATAAATAAATATACTATTTAATGAATAAATAAAATCAGGGCATCTACTCAAATATGAGTATCCATTTAAAAAATATAATGTTTAAACAAATAAATTAAAAATCTGTTGGATTTAATCCATTTTCCTTAAAAATTATCTTTGTTTACATTAGGATACAAAACAGAGCAGATATGTATATTTTGAGAATTGGGAAGAAGATGTGTGTTCAAAAGAACTATTTGGGCTTTACTTGATCAAGAGGTCCTACGTGACCGAGTTGATCTAAGGCATGTTGTGTGTGTGTGTGTATATATATATATATATATATATATATATATATATATAATATCTGGTGATTATAAGGGGTTTTTTTTTCAATATCAATAGATATATTTATTTTTAGTTTATTTTTCTTAAAAGCAATATGTCCTGAATCCTTTCTTTTGAAAAATAAAAACCATGCATTTTTTCATTATTCAAACAATCTTTTATAAAACATTATAAATAATCAAAACAGAATTTGTTATTGAAGTTTTTTACATATATATATATATATATATATATATATATATATATATAACTTTTATATAACTGCCACACTTGTATTTTTATGTGGTTGGATTTATCCAGTAAACACAATTTGTCAATGGTTGAAAGATATATGTTTATTTCTTATTTTTAGAACCCAGTCCATTGGCTATATTTCTAAACATTTCTTGAATCTAGTTAATTGAATTCCTAAATATTTGAACTGATTTTTTATTTCAACTGAACTACCAAATTTTGTCTGAGATATTCTTGCAAAACTCCAAAGACCTACAAATGTCACTTGTTTATATTGACATTTTCTAACAGTGAACTAAATGGAGGAACAATATGACTCTGGTTTTGTTTAAAGATTTGATGTGTTTGTATGAATGTAGATTCATGAAAGATCAAGTTGGCAAATAATTTGTATTCCCATGTTTTGTTTTTAAGATGTTATTTCTTTAAAAAGAAAAATTGTAATGTCATATAATTTTGTCTCTGTTCATTTGTTCTATTCATTTAAGTTCAACAATTCAAAACTAATGCAAACAAGAATACGACTGTATGAAAGCAGATCAAACTGCACAAAAGATCTCTTAATAATGATTATGCATTTCTCAGTGATTGTTTTTTTTTTTCTTTCTTACAGGAAGGCCATTAAGTTTTATATCTTGGACATTTGTGTCAATCCAGATCGTTTAGACTCTTGGGCTGGAATGAGCTTAGCACGTATGAGTAGACTTGAACAAAAATTAAATTCTGTAAGTATGCTTAAACTTTTCTCTACTTTCCTCTGTGAAATGATATGTTTATATCAAAATGGATAAAGCACTATAACTGCTAACAAGTAGTGTGTGTATATATTTATATAGATAATATTAGTGTAAAATATACATACATATGCAAAATATATAATTACCCATACATGTATATTATTAGAAAAAAAATTCCAAGAGGAAGAATCCAGGTAGAACTCAATGTCTAGGACAGAGTAAGGATATAATAAAAGGCTTAAACTAATATTCCATGGTTTAATTTATTCCATTGAATGTAAATATGATCCAATTCATCTGAATTGATCAGATTCGCTATTCCAATGGAATAAATTATGACCATTAGTGCTTAAGCCTTTTTATTATATATATATATATATATATATATATATATATATTCTGTTTATACATTACTTTTATGGATATAAACAGAAAATATGTTAAAATATTTGTTTGATTTAATCCATTTTATATATATATATATATATATATATATATATATTATATATTCAAATATGTTTCATTAAATAATATAGACATATTACATTTTATAATAATCATTTCTCGTTCTTTAATCAGCTTCTTGATGTTAAGTTGAAATTCATCAAAGAAAGCGCCATAGTTTTTTCCTACCCAAGTACTTCCAACCTCCTTCAAGATCATCCTCTGGGGTGTATTGCAAAGACAAACTTATTGTAACTGTGATCATTGTGATGGTGATTTTTGGGGGAAAAAAATGCATGAATGCACTGTTATAATTATTTTAAATTTTAAATTTTTTTTTTTTTCAAAAAACACCATATATGTTATTTATATTTGGGTTGGTGTTGGGGATGTTAATTTTGCATCAGTGAATTTTTACTCTCTGCTAACAACTCATTCATAATATTCTTCTGTTTCTTATAGACTGAGCTACGTATGGATCAACCCATTTACAAACAAGCAATTGCCTCTTTGCGATGCTTCACACGGGCAGTGGAGATTGACAGCAATAATGCAAAACTGTGGATTGAATATGGTTCCTTAGCATATCAGCTACACTCACATGCTTCACGGCAGCTGAAATTGGTAAAAACATTCATATTACTGTTGCTGCTGTCCTCATTCATTTGCTTCTTGTTCTTCTGTTCTTTGCCTCCTTTATCTTTCTCCCTTTCCTTCCCATCCTTCTATATATCTGTTGTTCCTGTTAATTCAAAGTGATGTCAAATAAAAAAATAATTTCAAGGTGCTAGATCACTCATGAAAAAAAATATATATATATATATATATATATATATATAGAGAGAGAGAGAGAGATCAACTGATTCTGTTACCTTGGTTTCAACCTTCCAGTATCTTCAGGTGATTTCAGTCAGTTGATTTCCTAACGCTTTATTTTTTTTTTTTAAATAAAAAATTTATGAATGCTATGTTTTTTTAAAAATAAATAAATGAATAAGCACACAATGTGAGGCGTGGTAGAAGGTGAAGAGGAGGAGGGGAAAAGCAAGTGCATTGGAAATGTATCGGTGGGGGGAATCAAAATGAAATATACATACTTTCTTTTCATTCCACTTCATATGAACTCAAAAGAAACTCTTTACTTTGTATATAACGGGTCATAATTTCCAATCTTTGATTCTGGAAATATAGCTAATTTTTCTTGTTGACAAAGGTTGCAGATATTATTATGATTGTTGTAAAGTTTTGCTTTTTTGAATTTTCCAGTTTACAATCAGACACACACAAAAAGAGGCTAAAAATTGCTATGCTAAAAGTTTGTACAACTGCTGACATAGAAAAGTTTTTAATGAAAATTTTGAAAGTTCTAAAATGGAGTAAAAAATTAATTAAATAATCAAAAAATACTTTGATAATAAAATACTTAATAACGATTTTGACAATAAAACTATGTTTTTATTATGTTATGCTGATTTTTTTAATGTTTTGTGGAGGTACCTATATATATATATATATATATATATATATATATGCGATAACAGTATATAATTTTTTTTTATCAAGAAAATATTAGGGAAAAATGGTATGACAAAAAAGTGTGAAAAAGGTTTCATGTGACATGTTTCATTCTTTAGGACTTCAGCAGACTAAATTTAGTCACATAAAAACTTTTTCCACTTTGTCATAAATTTTTTCACCCAGTGTGTGTGTGTATATATATATATATATATATATATATATATATATATGCATGTGGTATATCATATTTAAATATAATACACCATATATATATATATATAGAGAGAGAGAGAAAGATATTTAATTATTTTTGTGTGTAACAATTGAGGGACAGTGTGCAAAATTTTAATATGAGAGACATGGAAGCCATGACACCATTCACGTCTACATGCAAAAAGGTAATATGCTGACAAACTACAGAAACAATTTCCCTCTCTCTGCAACTACGATCAAAGTGAAAGGAGTAATGGAACTAATTTCCATTACTCCTTTCACAAAATAAACAGATACACAACTCCAAAGAAAGAAAGAATGAAAGAGAGAGGGGGGAATAGAAAGGGTTAGAGAGAGGAGATAAATATGTCAGACAAGATTTGGCCGAGATTTATATTTTATTTCAGCTCTCCGTAAAAACAATTATTTCTATTTCATGGATGACTTTCTCTGGATTTTGCAATTAATTTTGATTATTCCCAAATTTGTTTCCAAGTTATAAAAATTATCGTACAAAAAAATTAATTGCCAAAATCATGTAAAAAATCACCAAAAACAATCACTGTAATGAAAACTTAGGAATCCAAAATTTCAGGATTTTGGAGGCATAAGATCAACATCACTAGTGATTATTCTAAACACCTTCATAATTACCATTAGACTTGTTACAGGTGTGCTGTACAAGTTTAAGTTGGAAAACATGTGTCTCCTGATAGGCTTATCTGACAACAAAAATAGCAGACTCAGTATGTGAGTCCAGGTAATAAAACGTCAAAGTAACAACAAACCATATATATATATATATATATATATATACACACAAATAAACCTTAATGTACATATTTACAAAACAAGGGTATACATAGACAGTAGGAAATTGTTGTGTGTTACAAAACAATCGGCATGAAAGAAGAAAACATTTAAACTAGTGAATTGTTTATGTGTGTTGTTTGGTGTAGGAGAAAATCCAAGAGAAATGTGAAAAATGTGTGCGTGTGCGTACCCAGGTATGCACATGCACTTCTCCATGTGGCGACATACATCTTACCATCCCTGGGTGAAATAGGAAAAAAGATGATGACAGAAAATGTTACTGCCTATTTATAGGCTTAAAGAGCATCCCCCAGTGATGGTTTTTTCAGGAAATTAAGTGGGGTAACTTCACAGACTCATCCAACTCTTTCAGAATTCTCTACATTGTCCTCAGATTGACACCCAAACACTCCGAAATTTTCATATTGGATCTTCCGGTGTGAATACCAAGCAATACAGTATGCCATTTCTAAATTTCTGGCGGAGTGAATTGCATCATAGTGCTCTTTTTCTCACAGACAGTGCCCAACTGACCCTACTATACTGTGCAGTCGACTAAATCAAAAACAAACATCATGCATGTGTAAAATTAAAAATAAAAAATGGTGGCAATTTACCCATCCCACCCTGTATACAGGATTAATACAAATATAAAATTAGTAATATGATGACCAACTAATGCATTGAATGTCTTGTTTTGTAAAAGATCCCTTTTGTGTTGATAGATTCTTTTATTTAAATTCCTAGAAGTTTCACCTATGTATTTCTTGTGACTATTAGAGTCTAAAGTATAAATTCCTGCTCCAGGTTTATTTCATTTTGTATTCAGCCTCTTATTGTTTTATAAGTAGTTGTAACAATTTTTTATTAAGTTTAGATAAATTCTTGTACTTGGTATTGAGTTTATAGATAATATTATGTGTCTTGTTTTATCAAGACTATTTACCATATAGTGATTTTCCAAGCATAGCTTAGATGTGGCACAAGGCCGAAGGTATGGGGCACCCAATGAGGTTCGAACTCACTACTCAGTCGTAATCGTTCTAACGAGACAAGCTTGCTAACCATTACGCCATGCCGAGGTACCCTACTATTTACCGTATATGCTGGCATACAAAGTGACTGGGTATATAAGACAACCTCCAAGTTAAAATGTAGGTTTTGTATTATATTTGCTGTATAAGACAATCCCACCTCAATTGTATTTTAATTGTATTGGATTTATTAAATAAATTCAGTAAGCATATACTTTCTTTTTACTCAAATTCTAATGAAAAAATGGTGGGGAGATATTGTCAATTAATTACTACAATCTACAATACTTCATGTGTGGGTGCTGTGTTTTCGGTAGGCTGTTACGGTAGCCTGAATGACTTTTTCCCACTAACCATCCACTCCTTCCAAGGCTCTCAAATATGATCTTTAAACGGCTTGTTGAGACACACATCCAGTTGTGTTTTTGTTCAACATCATCAAAAAAAAGAGGTGAGGTTTTGTCAATTAACTACCACAGGATTTTAGGTTCACATTTTATACCTAGAGTATAAGACAGCTTTTAAGGGTTTTAAAGGTTGCCACAAAATGCCAAAATGTATGCATCTATAAATAAACTTCTCTCTTTCAGATGGATTGGTTTCCTCTTAGTGATGAACTTTTCCAAATTGCCACAGCAAGCAAAAAAGAAATGCTGTTAATTGCTGCTAATTGCTACAAGAAAGCTAATGAGTGTGAGACAGAAGGAGGCCATAATGAAGAATGGCTCCATTTTTATATGATGGGTAAAGTGTGTGAAAAGATGCGTACTCCACCCTGTGAATATTTGGAGCATTACAAGGAGGTAAGAGTTAGACTATTTTCTCTATAAATTCAATTAAATACATAAACATCTCTATAAATATGTATACCAATTATTTTTTTTTTTTAAATTATTATTAATTACCAGCCAGAACTGATCTGAACCCATTTCAGGTTGTAACAAAATCTCTATTGTGGATTAAAAGGCTTACAGCTATAACATATTGAAACACCAGTTCCCATATGATCACCAAAGTTGAGCCTGGTCTGTCCCTACATGGGTGACTGCTTGGGAATACCAGGTGCTGTAAGCTTGGATGTGCAGGTGGTGTAATGGATAATGGCTTGAAATTGTTAATTGGGGAGCCGAGTCCAATTCCAGTCCATTTCATAATATTCACTTACATGCAAATTCCCTTGGGAAAAGTGTGGATCCATCTTTTCTCCCCTTCCCAGTTATGAGTTAATTTGTAAGACTTGTATCACTAAATCATTATTATCTCCAAAAAAACAAAAAATTTCTTACAATCTAAAAACATTTTCTGGCTTTAAATAATCTACAAGGGAATGATTAGTCACAGAAAACAAACAAACAAATCAATGAATGAAATACAATTTATCTGCACAGACATATCTTTTAGATTTATTTACATTCTCTGGGATATAAATGTATAGAAACTACCATTGCCACAAAGTCAGGGATCAGTTTATATATTGATTGTAACATAGAATTGATCCCCTACTTTATATCCACATTACAATTTCTTGTTTGTTTATCAAATTCTGATTAGGTATGAATCCATCTCTTCTCCCTCAAGCTATGGGTTAATTAGTAAGACGTGTATCATTAAACCATTATTATCTCAAAAAAATTCTTACAATCTAAAAATATTTTCTAGCTTTAAATAACCTGTAAAGGATTGATAAACTGTAGAAAATGAATCAATCAATCCATGAAATACTGATTAGCTACACAGGCATTTCTTAGATTTATTTGCATTCTCTGGGATATAAATGTATAGAAACTAGTATGGTCACAAAGTAAGTGATCAATTTATATATTGACTGTAATATAAAATTGATCCACCACTTAATATCCACATCATAATTTCTTGTTTGTTTATCAAATTCTGATTAGGTATGAATCCACCTCGTCTCCCTCTAGCTATGGGTTAATTAGCAAAAATCGTATCACTAAACCATTATTATCTCTAAAAAATATTCTTAGAATCTAAAAATATTTTCTGGCTTTAAATAACCTGGAAAGGGTTGATAAGCCATAGAAAATGAATGAATGAATCAAAAATGTGGATTGAAGTCAGAACATTTGACTTATAACTGTATAAGAAGATATTTTTACTTTAAATTTTGAACAAAAGAATGTTTAATGAAAATTGAATTTTTCTTTCTTCTCATTTTTTTTTTTATTTTTTACAAAACCGTCTTTACTCTTTTCAGGCTGCAGAACATCTTCATGAAGATTATGCTGCTTATCCCAAAAAAATCAACTATGTTGTTAGCCCACCTCATCTTGCTGTTGAATCACTTGAAGTGAGAAATATTTGTTTCATTTTTTTTTTTTTTTTTTAGAAACTCCTTAGTAAAATTGTTAACAGTAATTTAAATCTTGTTCTCCATTGTACAAACACAGCCTCTCATCCCCATAAGAGAACATTGTTTTGAATTACATATTTATTGATTCCTAACTTATTTTAAAACAATTAACATTGCAAATTCTTGGATCATATCTGGGGAGGGGATTTCAGAAAGGGTTTCAATTTTGGGGAAATCTATATTTTTTCATGTAATTTTTATTGCAGTTTTATTTTTCTTGACATTTTACTCATCACCAAAAAATCAAGACTTAAAAAAAAAAAATCATGTCGTGTTTACATTTGTAATATGAGCAATGGGTACCAGAGGTCCATAAATGTTAACCTTTTAATAATGTTTATTAGGTTATTGGTGGTATGCTTGTGCTTACTCTTCTTCATAGCACATAGCAGATGAAATACAGGCATAACATCAACCAGAGGAACAAAATCTTTGAAGATTATAACTTTGGTTTCTGGCTTGAAAATTTTTAGTTAAATGAAACAAATATGGTTTAGCAAAAAGATAGATTCAGTTTAACTAACCGGACAGACATAAAGTTAAGGGTTCAATTTTGCATTACACTTACATTGTAAATCAAACCCCTTGCTAACAACTTTTAAAGTTTTGGCTTATTCCTTATTTCCCACCCATGTTGTGAGCTAATGATTGATGATCTGGGAATTGCAATAAAAGCAACTGAAATTGACATGAAGGAAATGTGTCAAAAATTAATAATAATTGACAATTATTAATTAAGAAATATTAAATGCTGTTGCTAATGAAAAAATAACATGAGATAAAAGTAATACGAGTCACATTTATTAATAAGTTATGATAAATGTTTTATCTCAGAAATTCAATTAATATTACAATCAATGCTTTCTGTACTTTGCATCTTAATTTTTTTTCATTTCTTGTTATTTTAATGTTGTCACGGATCTACTTCCTTGAAATCTTTTCTAATGTCTTTCTGTTGCACAGCTCTATTACCGACAACATGTGGCCATACTTAAAGAACTGCTCTACAAGAAAACTGAGGACTTGGATTTGGATTATTTTGAGCATTATCTGAGAGAAGTTGCTGAAGGGCCTTTTGCACATTTCCGGGAAAAGAAACGACAACGGAAGGAATGGTAAGAAAATAATTCCTATTTTTAAAAGCTCACCGACAAAATTAATGTTTTTTTTTTTGTCGTTTATTTTTTTATTTTTATTTTATTAAAATCGAATAGTGTGCCTGATTTCTTAAAGACTGGAACTACAGAAGAGGATTTCCAACAAGTGAGAAAGCAAGAAGCAGCAAGGCATTTATTTATTGTAGAGTTTAGGGATAACAGGAGACACATTTCTTAAGGACTTTTGAAGGGATAACATCAGGTTCACATGGTTTATTGGGATTCAGTTTAGAGATGATAGCAGAAACCATTGATAGAATTATATACATATCATTCAGCAGAGGCTCAGTTCTAAGTGGAAAGTTAGGCAAAGATATTCCAGATGAGCCAAGAGGAGAATTGAAAGAGAATTTACAGGCAAAGGATTCATCAGCATATCAGCAATATATGTGAACACCTCAAATTGAATGAAGAGAAGAGGGATAGAAGACTTACTCTTGTTTAACATACTGTTGCACAGCCACCAATATTCATATTTAAAATATTGATGGCATCTGAAGGCATATTTTTATTCTTTAGTTGCTTTGAGTGAGCATTTAGACATTGTTATTTGTTTTTCTTAAAAGTTCAATATGTTGTTGATATTTGTCATGTAAATGACATTCTATATAGTTTTTTGTTAATCATTTCCCACATGGCAATAAAGCCACTAAGACGCAAGGGGTTACTGAGTGTGAGAGAATATGAGAAAAGGAGAGAGAATAATAAAAGAACAGGAAATAAGGAGACAGAAAATAATGATTGACATTGGTTTTCAATTTTTGAAGATCAAAGTTGACTGGGAAGCAAGAAAATGGAATAGAATTCCACAAACGAGAAGTGCAACAGAAAAACTGTTAGCATAGAACTTACAGTTACATATAGCCAGTTAAACTGTAAAATGATGAGACTTTGCCACCAAATTCATAAAGTCCACGTCAGAATAATTACCATAAAAATATTTATAGAAAAGGCACAGGGAAGCTGTTACAGCAGTGGGAAATTGAATGAAGCCAAGATGCCAGGTTAGGAGCAATAACATAATGTTAATAATAGTTAAAATGGATTGCCTTTGTCTGGATTTTAGAGATAAGTCTATAATGTCATGAATTCAAAAAGAGACCAGCTAAGACCACCTGCGGAGGGACACTGATGTATACCTGGCTGAAAGGAAGAAACGTTTTTGATGGGCGGGATGAGTGACCGTATGCTGGCTTGCACATTTGTGCACAGTTGCCAGGCAATATAAAGTGGACTTTTTATGCGTTGTCTAGGATGGACGCACTGTCTTTGACCTGTTGTTTGCCTGAGCCCAGATGATTATGAGAGATGAGGGGATAGAGGAAGTCATGATGGCAACAGTGGCTTGGCCAATGCAAACTATGGACATTCATGTCATAAAGTGCTTTAGATGCAATGGTATTAACCATATGGCGAAAGATTGTCAGAGCTGACAACATGGCAGGGGATGAGAGTGAGGACAACACAATACCATGCACTGTTACCATTGAAATACCGTGGGCCATATGTCTAAGAAGACATGAGAAGAGATATGTCAATGCCAGTATCTTCTCCAGTCTGGCATTACCTGTGATTGGCATCCAGGTTGATAGCAGAACTGTCACTGTGCTGGTCCATACTGGTTGTTTGCTGTCTATAGCCAGCCAAGAGATATGCCAGTCATGGATGAAAGGGCCTGTATGTGTAACAACGATAGATGGGGAAACCAGAGTGTGTTGTGGAATCGGAGTTATTGCTTTCTGGTTGCAAGATTCATGTACTGGTGGTGCAAGAAAAGCCACTTAGTTTCAACCTTCTGATCAGGATGAATGCAATTAAAGAACTCCTTCAGGTGCAGTGGAGTTTTTTGACAAAAAAATCATCCCTGTGTGCAGCTCTCACCATAAAGAAACCAATTATTTGCATATGAACGATATTGGGCAGGTATTAGTCAATAGTCAGTGTGGGTCTGAGAATGGGAGAGCTATATAACACCAGCGTTTTTCTTAGTTGAGGCAGGCACTCTCAATGTGCAAAAACCAGACAAAACAAACACAACTTTGTGATGTCATTTGTGGCTGTGTGCCATTGGAAATTGCCTGGCGTGCCGCATGTTGCTGACCCCTGTGCTATATAATTATAATAATAATAATATCTGTTGTTATTAAGGTTTTGGGAATAATATCAAAAGGTGCAAGGAAGTATGTGGATCCAAATCCTTTGAATTGAACTGAAAATAAAACAATCATACTGATGGGTGCTTCACACATCTTATGTAGATTTCACTCCATGCAATGACCCCCAATTACATATTTTTTTCTCCCTGATACAAAAGAACTTGTTGTCTTTTGAAGTTGGTTCACTATGTTGTACCAGACGATTTTTCTCACCAGAATCCACCTTGCACGTTTATAAGTCTACCATTAGTCCCTGCATTGAATATTCGTGCCATATCTGGTCTGATGCATCTGCTATATATCTTTAGATTCTTGACAAAATCTAATGAAGAATCTGCAACATTATCTGTCCTAGTATGGCTTCTTGGCTCCAGTCAATTTCCCACCACCATAATGTGGCCTCCCTGTACCTTTTCTATAAATATTTTCATATCAATTGTTCTGATGAGATTTCCTCTTTGTTACCTCAACTCATAAATTTATATGCAGTACTAGATTGGCAACTAGTTCTTATTGTGTTACTGTTATACTCAATGTAACCATAAGTTCTATGCTGATAGTTTCTTTTCTTGCACTTCTCAACTGTGGAACACACTTCCAGCTTCTTATTTTCCTACCAAGTATGATCTTTAAAAATTTAAATGTCACATCAATTGCCATCTTCTGTAGTTTTGAATTCTGTTCTTTTATTGTTTTTTTTCCTCACTAACGTTTTCTTATTTTCTTTCACTCTCAGTAACCTCCTGTGTCTTAATGTCTTTATTGTCTTGCTTGGAGTGAAATGATTTAAGAAAAAAAACTCTGCTTGAGACTTAGAAACAACTCCTACTGCACAAAACAAAGGCAAAACAACAACAACAATAATAATGATCATCATTATCTTTAAATATATTTTTAAAACTACATTACACTGTATTTTCTCTTGTATAATATGAGCAATTTGGAATGAAAATTAAAGGTGGTGGGGGTCGTATTATACACAAGTACACGTTTTCAGAAATTTTTACACAGTTTAAAAACCTCTCGTTTGAAACAGCAAGATTGCAAAAATACTCAATTAGCACAATAGATAACAAAACACAAAGTAGGCAGGTGTTGAAAACAATTGTTTACAAAAGGTATTTGATATGATGGCAATATTTGTTCTTTGTGAATCAACATAATGTATAAAATTAAGAGTTTTGCTCACAAGATAATGTTTGTTTATATTTTGATTTTCTTTTTTTCTCTCTTCCTTCTTAATGAGACAATTTTTTTTTTATTTTCATAGTTTATTAATATATAGAAATATAATAAAGTCATATCAAACAGAAAACTATGGGAGATTAATTAACACCTTAAAATATTTTACCAGGTGTATCGAGTTAATACTTTTCTCTGAAAATTTGAAAAGAAAAGTTTTGAAATGGAAATTAGAAGAAACATCTGATTCATTTCTATTCTTTAATATCATAGAAAAATTAAATATTTTAGTGAAATATATGTATGACATTGGGATTTTAATGAATAATATGGTATAACTTTACAAAACAAATTTACATAAGGATAGCTGTACTACAGAGGGTCATATTATACTCAAGGATGTAATTTATTCCCTCTTTTTAGATTCAAAAACTTGAGATTGTATTGTATTCAAGACATATTATACACAAGCACAAGAAAATATGATAGCTTGAATGCTTTGTCTGTTTGTTACATCGAATATAGCTGTGAGATTCATTACTTGTCAAAAATTTGTTATTTTTGCATGAAACCAAATTGACCTTGAAGTTTAACAGTTCAGTTAAAGATCAGCAATTCTATTTATTTACTTTGTTTCATTTTTCATTTGCAAAAGAATTCTGTTTCAAAAATCAATTATCTAATAATAACTAGTTTAATTTTACTGCCAAATATTATTTGTAAGAAATTAATCATTCTATTTGGTCCTTACTATTACAAGATTTTCATATGTGAGTTTTTTTAAATATATTCTTTCCAATTATGTAGTAAGTTATTAAATTTAATAAAAACAAAGTTTTAATGTCAAAATCTTTTATTATTAAGAGGAAAGTTTGGTAGTGAAAAACATTGATTTGAAATGTTTGAAAAATCAAATAATTGTTGGATTTATTCACAAATGAAATTATTTCAGAAATGTTCTTTTTTTAGAAAATCATGGTGAAATATTTTTATATCTGTTACCAACACTTATTTAATTTTAATGAAATTCAGAAAAATTCAATTTTTGTAACGCTTAATGTTTATGTCAGTTAAAAGCAGAATTCCTTGGAGAATTTGAAATCATCAATTTCCTTTTCTAAAACTGGACGCCCAGTTACCGAAAATCTGCTGTGAATCGTAAAATAAAAAATGTGATAAAACTAAGACATTATTTAATTAGAAAAGCTTTTAATTGTTTTTATGATTAAGATATATTAAGGATACTATTGTCTTAAAAATCTTTTTTTCGATGAATAATGTATTTTACAAAAAGTTTCATTTTTTACTTTTTTTTTATTAAGGTTTTTAGTACTAGTATCACTAGTCACATACAAATTGTTCATAAGTGATATTAGTTTCTCTCTCTCTCTCTCTCTCTCTCTCTCTCTCTCTCTTGCTTTTGAAGCTCTTGAAAAAAGAAAAGCGAGGACGAGACTCTTTCGTTCTTATTTTTATCTCTCTTTCTTTCTCTTAATTTATTTGTCTATTTTTTTGCTTTCAATTTTTCTTAAATCTTTTTTTTTATTATTCTTCTCCCGCTCATTCGCGAAAAGTGAGCTTTCACCTGGTTATAGGTAGCAAAACCATTAATAATAATTA